GGTCAAAAAGGTCGGTGGCATCGCTCATGCTCTTAACCAAAGAATATCCTACGCGCGTCTGAGAGCCTACAACACCGATGTAAAGATCATCGATCCAAACTCGTTCTCCCACCCCTGGACTCATGATCTGCATCTGGTCCAGAATAAAAAATGTTAAACACCGGGCAAACCTCGTCCCGCTCCGAATTCCCTGGGTAATGCTTTGAGTGGGTTGAAACCCTTGCGAATAAGCCCCTAGTTGTGCAAGAAGGCGCGCAACAACACACATGTGCAACCCAAGGAACAAGATGACGGGAGGGAAACCCAGCCTAAGCGCGGCAAGAATGAGGTTCTGAAACTTGATAGTATCATACAAGCTTTTAATGTCTAAAACAGCCTGCCCATATGCGATCTGATATTTACCCGCGACCTCGGCGTCCAGGACCCTCTGAAACGCTTCGAGCAATGGGGGGCTGCCTTCAACTGCCGCATCCCAGGCTGGATTGGAGTCTCTTGACCACTGCTCGGTTAAACCACCGCGTGCCAAACTCCAGATGCGGCAGAAAATTGGCAAGAGTCCTATGGCTCTGTCCCCCGAAGACTTCTTCGGAAGTTATCGCCCGATACATGCCATCAACTGCCACGGCCAAGTGAGCGACCCCTCTATTGCTTCATACAACAGCGCGAGATCCAGCATGCCGTTTTCAGGAAGACGTTCGACATCGATTGGACTAAGTTGAACTAAACCCATAACTGCTTTAGCTTTCATCCTGCTGGCTGTTTACGTATCTGCTGGGGCTCGAGAGGTACAAGTTGCTCAACTTTCGCTGCTTCTCTAACAATATTGAAAACTGCTTCAAAAGAACCAGGGTCGCATGCTTCCGATGCCCAAAGGGATTGAAACTGCTTGACGTTAACGTATTCATCTGCAGCATATGGCACACTACGAAGACATCGGTGTAGTGCGCCAGCGAGCTCTCCTGGACGATCCAGTCCTGGAAAGACCTAAGCGAGGCCTGGACAGCTCGTCGCCTAGCACGCTGTGCCACTTTCCCTGCCTGCATGTGCATATTTTTCAACCAACAATGTGCTGTGCTTCGTGGCATCCTTGAACGAATGTACCCAATGCTCCCAAGAGAAATTCTGGGCGCCAGTTATGATAACAGCCTGCACGCCCTCGGGAAAGTCATGGGACAACTTGCACGCAACTGCACTAAGATGATTGACCTGCTGCACGCCGTTGCCTCGAACTCTGTGCCGATGGCATCTCCCTAAGACAGTGTGCAGTCTAGACCACCAAGTCGCGACTTGATCACTTAGCGGGGTGTCTCTGAAATGCTCAGCTCTGCGTGCGGTATGAATGACAAGCTGCGGGGAATCTGCTCTAGACTTACTATCACAAACTTGTCTATGGTGCTCTAGGATGCTTCCCTCTAACGTGCGCACCCACGATGCATACATACCACTCACGTGCAATACATGTGCTCCTCCCACCACAAATGCTCCCGATGATGCAACCACTGGCCACACCTGCTCCAAAGACTGAGGTCCGACGCCCACGATGGCCCTGTTGGAGTCCCAAAGGCCGCTGGGAAAGTAAGGCGACGGACCTGTCGCTTCAACCGCTGCCTCCGGTGAAACGCCTACCTTTGGGGGGGAAGTTGCTTCAGCCTCATTTAAAGGGCGGGAGTTGGGGTGGGGGTGCTCATCATTTTGCTGATTCGGGCAATCTTGAAATGGAGGCCTGTTGAATTGAAACTCTTGAGACGAGGGATCGATTTCCTCACCCCAATCCCGAGAGCCAGAGACCTGAAAGGGATCCACATCTTCCCCAGGAGAAAAATTTGGACCCGCTTGGCTCTCTTCGGCCTGGGGCTCCTGGGTCTGAAACAAATCGCCGAAAAACTGCTGACAGGCTTCTTGAAACTTCTGCTGAAAAGCTGTACCACGTTCCTGTTTTCTCCGCTTGCTAGCTTGAGACTTGCTGCCTACTTGTGCTGCCTGACCTGGGCGTTGCACCTGTGGCAACTTCCTTGGAAGGACAAGGGAACGCGTGATGAGTTGCAGCCCCTCGCTCCGAAAACGTAGTTGGTGCCCGCAGTGTGTGCCCCACGGCACATCAAGGACTGCAGTCAACCCTAAAACGTATGGAGCGGCAGTCTTTGAGGCTCAAACGAAGTCTATGTGTGAAGCTCCTGTACCTGTAATACACGTGTGTTCTACTTCCGACGTGAAAACAACCCCGCCGACCTTCTCGATGTACCCGCACTTAGCGAGGTCCTTGGGGCTCATATTGAAGTCTCCTACCATAATCCACGGAAGCTGCAACGAGGCTAAAAGAGCCCCAACTCTGGACAACCTACGTGCATTGTCCCCGTTGAAACCCAAGGCGGAGATTCTGTAAAAGGCAAGCAAAACTAAACGATACCCCTGAACATGCACGATAACAGGAAGAAACCCGTGAAAGGCATCTGCGGTTTCACAAAGCTCGGAGTAATCGCTGGGATTGCCAAACGTGTGAACCTGTCTATGGCCCTGAGTCAACATCAGTTCGCCTCCCTCACCCTTAGCTGTCTCGCTGGTGACAGCTCCTGGGCGGGGATGGTTGAAAAAGGCTTTAAATTTGCCGACACGGAACTTACTAGACCATTCCTGAAGTTGCGGCGGAGGAGAAGGAGAAGGAGGAGGGGGAGGAGAAGGAGGTGGAGGAGGGGGAAGAGGAGGAGGAGGAGGAGGAGGAGGAGGACGGAGAAGGAGGAAGAATCGGAGGAGGAGGAGGAGGAGGAGGCGGAGGGGAGGGAGGAGGAGGAGGAGCAGGAGGTAGAGGAGGAGGAGGAGGAGGTGGAGGAAGAGGAGGAGGAGGTGGGAGGAGGAGGAGGAGAGGAGGAGGAGGGAGGAGGGAGGAGGAGGAAGAGAAAGAGGAGAAGGAGGAGGAGGAGGAGGAGGAGCAGGGGGAGGAGGGGGAGGAGGAGCAGGAGGAGGAGGAGGAGGAGGAAGCGGAGGAGAAGGAGGTGGGGAGGGGGAGGGGGAGGGGGAGGAGGTGGAGGAGCAGGAGAGAGGAGGAGAGGAGGAGGAGGAGGAGGAGGAGGGAGGAGGTAGAGGAGGAGGAGGAGAAGGAGGAGGAGGAGGAGGAGGAGGAGGAGGGAGGAGGGAGGAGGGAGGAGGGAGGGGAAGGAGGAGGAGGAGGAGGAGGAGGAGGAGGGAGGACGGATCGCCTAAGCCCTTTGTAGAAACCCTTCATTTGCACCACTTGTAATAACAAGCCTGTGCCTTCAGGATTTCCGCAGTCGCGCTTGCTCGGAAGCGCTAAGCAAGCGAGGCTATCCACGGGCTAAAGCAGAGTCCCGTACGGGCCAGCCTTTTGCTCACAACGTGTTCGCACTGTTAGGATCAGGATGAAAACGTCATCGTCATCGTCATCGTTATCGGCATCCTGTCAGGAGAGGCAAAATCCAGACGGAGTAAGCCCAACCGAAGACCAAACACTCCGTGCGGACTCACTCTGCACGGACTTAGCATTCTCCGACGGTGGATTCCCCTGGCGGCGCTCTGGCGACGCCTCTGGCGCGCTCCACGCGCCAGGAATGGGGTCCAGCGCCGGTCCGAGAAATACGGGCGGATCTCCGAACATTTACGCATCCGTCGTGGCTGTTGCCTCGACGGGCTGGCGGCGCTGGCGGCGTCGTTCTGCCGTCGTCGTCGACTCAGTCATCATTCTCTGGGGAACAGCAACGCAGCCATGCCAGCACTGCTGGGTTCCAAGGGAGCTGCTCGAGTGCCGCCAGGGCCGTCCGACCCGTCAGCCGCGGAGCTGCCGCCTGGCCCGGATGCCGAGCAGAGCCCTGCTTCTGATCCCAGTTCCCGTCGGGTTGTGTATTGGTGGCATCGGCGTAGATGTGTTCATTGTCGTCGGCGTCGTCGTCATATCCGTCGGCATCGTTGGCGTCGCTTTTTGTTGTCGCCGTCGTGGTCGGCGGCATCAGCCTCCTCGACTCGTTCCTCCCCAGATCCAATCCGTTCTTCTCGTTTCCCTCCTCCGGGGGGTAACGAGGCACGACGGCATCGAATGAGCAACGAAAAGAGAAGGGTATTGCAAGCGGGGGCGCTTACGCGCGAGCTTACGCGGGCATCTTACGCGCGGAATGTCGGCGCAATCGAACCCCGCTTCTTCCGTCACTCAGACGTCTCTCGTTCTTTGACTGCGCATGCGCCACTCTGCATGGCTCTACATCGAACGTGTCAGGCAGGAATTCTGAAGCATTTTCCGTCGCAGGGCGAAAGGAGACTGGTTCCTGGGCCCAATCACCAGCCTCAAGTCGGGCGCGTCCCTCTACTTAACACCAGCCTGGTCTCCTCCGCTATGCTGTGCTTCGCACCGGCTCAGGCCGTGGCCCCAGCTGTTGCTCTTGAGCCGAGCTCGAATCCTACAAAAATACCGGCTGGCGAAGAACAACAACTGCACAAGCATACATGAAGGGGCCCCAGGACACACACACACACATAAATACACACAAATAAAAATACTCCCCATATTTTCCCATATGTTTGGGATTTTCGTCTTCCCCCCCACTTCCCATATTTTCCCATATTTTCCTAAAAATCGACGAATAATTGTGTCTGTGTATTTTTTTCCCCTCCTGAATACACTCGACCAGGATAGTAAGGATGCGCGGTAAGGATGCAAGGGCCTTGCAATGCCATGTTGACGTTTTCGGTGCGGAGCGCAGCAGAATGCCGAAGGATGCCGAATACCGAAAGGGCAAGGATGCAAGGGTAGCCTTGGAAAATTGCCCCATCCTTACTATCATGGTTGACAGTAAACTGTCGGAGGTCCGCGCGGACCTCTCAAATCGGCGCGGAGCCGCGCAGGGGACAGCGACGGAGGCGCCGCCAAGCGGGCCCGACACCAATCCCATCAACCCGCGCGGAGCTCCGACAAGTTATGTTCAATGCCGATGCTGTGTCCTCGGGCCCACGGAAAGCCAGCCGACCCTGTCGGCGTGTGTGAGGGCTTGCCCGTTCGAGTCGTCGTCTCAGACGTCTCCCTCATTCGCTCGTCGAAGAGAGGGGGCCAGTCGCCGCCCCCACCCTTTCCCTGGGTGCTCCTCCTCAAGCGTGCCAGCCAAAGCGAAATTGAGCGACGTCGTGATTGAGTCGAAGGGACGCCCCCTCCCTTTGCTCCCTCCCCCGTCGGGGGGGAGTCCCGACCCAGATACGACTCGGCCCGGGCGTTCCCAGGGTCCAACACAGCTGCAAGACGGGCCACGAGTGCCCCAAGAAGCTCCCAAGACGGTCCAAGAGGGCTCCAAATCGCCGAACGCTCTGTCGAAGACGCCCTGACGGCCTCCAGACGGTACAAGAGCCCTGCAAGACGCCCTAGATGCCTCCAGGAGAACTCTCAAGAGGGACCCAAGAGGCAGCATTCATCAATTTTCCTTACGTTCGTAACGTTGCTGGCCTCCTCCTCCTCCTCCTCCTCATGGTCCAACTTCTCCTCCTCCCCCTCCTCCTCATCCTCCTCATCCTCCTCCTCCCCCGCGTCCTCCTCCTCCTCCTCCGACTACTCCTCCTTATCCTCAGCCTGCGCCTCCTCCTCCTTCTCCTCCTCCTCCTCCTCCTCCACCTTGCCGCCGACGCCGCCGCCGCCGCCGCCGTCGTCGTCCTCGTCGTCGTCGTCGTCGTCGTCGTCTTCAGGGTCGGCGGCATCGGCCGCAAGGCCTTCGCAGTCTGCCAACTGCGCGGCGCCCACCACGCCCTGGCGCGGGCCTTCGCGGAGAGAGAGAGAGAGAGAGGCACCAGAACTCCAGCTCAGCGGCCACTCGGGACGGATCGGGGGCCATACTCCCGAGCGCCCTCTCGGCGAGGCGCAGCTGCTGGAAGGCAACCCGACGGGAGAAACACAGATCGGGGGCGCGCAAACATGGATCGGGGGGAGGTGCCCTCCCAAAAATGCGGCTGGTGCCGCCTAATTCGGCGGCGGGCATCCGCGAGTTCCCTTGGAAACGGGACCCGTCGCTAATCCACGCCCCCTTGATCCATGTTTGCGATCGCCTGACCAAACCCCCTCGCGTCGTGAACAAGGTCATGACGGCCAGTTTTCGGCGGTGTTCGGCCTCTGGGGGGCCTCAAAGGCCCTGGGACTGCGAAAACACATCCAAGATGCAACGCCTGGTCCCAGGCAAGGGATGTAGACCTGTAGGGGTCCACGTCGAGAAGAGAACCTGACGACGCGGGCCGGTGAACCCTCTGAGAAAAAACGCAGGCCTCCGTCCTGCCAGGATACCTTGCCTCCACGGCGACCGCGAAAGCGGCAGGGAGGAGAGGAGGCCCGTCGCCCGGGCAGGCCTGGACTGCCATGGAGCGGAGGCACTTGTAAAACTTGCCCGAGGTGTGCAGGAACAGCGGCTTGGAGCCTGGCCCCAAAGCTCCGCGCGGGCCCCCCCCCGGGTCCCCCTTTTGCCCTGGCGGCGAACACAGGTGGGGTGGCGCGACGAAGGCAGCGGCCTCTCTCGGAAGCCCAGGGGGGGTGCTCCTCAAGAAGGGGCACGGGGTCCTCGTCCAGCAGCCCCTCCTGGCCCCCAAAAGTAGAGAGCATAACATCCACCCTCAAAACAACCACCCCGACGCGCGAGGTCGTTGAGGAAACGCGCCCAGAAGAGAAATCGAACAGGGCCAAGGCTGTCTGGCAGACGCCCACAAGCCGTGTAGTTAACGCCAAATATACGGGGCCCAAACATATACACCACCACCACCTCCCTCACCCCCACCCTCTCCCAGGAAAGAGGCGAGGAAAAAGAGGGCAGAGAGGAGGGAGGAGGAATCGACGTGGTGGTGGTGTATATTGCTGGGGCCCGCAAATTATCGGGTCTGGGGCTTCCTTGAAAAAAAAGCCTTGCCCCAAAGCCCCCTGGGAGAGGGCCCGTGCACTCCGGGAGGCAGCCTGACCGTCGTCGCTGGGGCCCTCGCCTTGGCCTGGCCGCTCCCCCTCACTCTAAGGGCGGGCGTGTCCTCCTACACTGGGATTTCGGACGAAACTAAAAAACATGATATTACACTTGGATTTCGGACGGAAGTTGGAACATGCTCCCAATTACAAAAGGAATATTAGAGAAATCGTCCTCAGACTTTCTTCTGTACTGTCTTTGAACACTCCTCCTGTAGAGGGACGCGCCCGACTGAAGGTTCAATCGGGCGTGTCCCCCTACAGGGGGATTTTGGGCGAAAAAGAATTTACTCCAAAGATACCCCCCACATGGGTAGAACAAGTCGAAACATCGTCCCCAGACTGTTGTTACACTATTTTTGGAGATCCCTCCTGTAGAGGGACAGGCCCGACTAAACCCTACAGCCAACGTGTATCACAAGGATGCGCGGCAAGGATGCAAGGGCCATGGAGGGCCACGTGAGCGTTTCTGTCGAAAGAGCCTGGCCGGCGAGAGTCGCCGAGGGTGGAGGCAGGGATGCAGGGGCACCCTTGGGAGGGTTGCCCAGCCCTTGGGAGGGATGCAGGGGCACCCTTGGGAGGACACGCCCGACTTAGAATCTAGGGTTAAGTCGGGCGTGTCCCCCTACAGGGGGACTTCCGACAACCAAGGCAAATAATGCAAACATAGTCTGGGGTCTATGTTTTAGTTGTTTTGTCATTTTGGTGCATGTGTTGCAGATGTTTTACTGTTCGCGCAAGATCCCCCTGTAGGGAGGACACGGCGGACTTCAAATCTGGGGCATCGGCCCTCGCCTTGGCCTGGCCGCTCCGCCCTCCTCCTCCTCCTCCTTCAGCCTCCTTCCTCCCTCCTCCTCCCTCCTCCTTCCTCCTTCCTCCTCATTCCTCCTCCACCTCCTTCCTCCTCCTCCTCCTCCGAGGGGCGCTCCTCCTCCTCCTCCTCCTCCCTCCTCCTTCCTCCTTCCTCCTTCCTCCTCCTTCCTCCTTCCTCCTCCTCCTCCTCCTTCCTCCTCCTCCTCCTCCTCCTTCCCCGCGCCTGTCGGGGCGAGGCATCGGCCCTCGCTTTGGCCTGGCCGCTTCCCCCTCCTCCTCCTCCCCCTTCTGTGGGCCCCAGGGCGGGCGACGGAGCCGGGTGGCCCCGACAGGCGCGGGGGGTGGGAGGAAGGAGGAGGAGGAAGGAGGAGGAAGGAGGAGGAGGCGGAGGAGGAGAAGGATGAGGAGGAGCGCCCCTCGGAGGAGGGAGGAGGAGGAGGAGGAGGAGGAGGAGGAGGAGGAGGAGGAGGAGGAGGAGGAGGAGGAGGAAGGGGGAGGGAGGAGGGAGGAGGGAGGAGGGAGGAGGGAGGAGGGAGGAGGAGGAGGAGGAGGAGGAGGAGGACGGGTCGCCGAAGCCCCTCGGAGAAACCTTCCACCCCGTCCCTGTGGGAAAGATGCGCACGGCGGAGAACGACAAACCCAGAGATCCAACGCATTGGAAAAATCACGACGGAGGATGTTCACAAGCCTCGGCCTCGAAGGCCCTTACAGGCTCAGGGCCTCGGGACTGGCTTCTCGTCCTGGCTCCCTTCTCGGGCCGCGCCTACACCCGTGCCGAGCACTCACAAAAGATCGACGAAACGAAACGGGTCTTACGCACGATGATGTTGCGACCTGCTGCTGCGGCTTGCGCAAACCGCCAGCGCGGCACGCTGCATTGGAAGCGAGGGCGCGTACGCGCGACCTTGCGCGGGCAGTTTACGCACCAATGTCGGCGCAGTTGGATCCGACTTCTGTTCGTCGCCCACATGGGGTCAGAGTAGGTAGCGTCGGAGAATCGCGCCGCATCGTCGATGCATCCAGATGCATCGGAAACCCAGCGCGTTCCTTCGACCCTATGTATTCGGAGCCCCTTTCCTTGGGCCAGAGACGCGACTTTCCCGCCGCTGCACTCCCCCATCCCCAACCCAACGCCGTATGGCCCACGCCGAGAAACTTGCAGCCGACGCCGACGCCGAACGAAGGGCGAGGGGTATGAGGGTCGACCCCCTCGCTCCGCCCCACTCTGCTCGTAGCCGATCCTCCCAGCCGCATGCACCACCAGGTCCCCGGGCACCAGTCTCCGTCTGGGAGAAGACGCCGGAGTCGTCCATCATGAAGACGCACCTCTGGGGGAAGGCGTTAACGGCGTTAGGGCAAACTGCCTGGCGAATCACTCATCCTACCCCCCTTCGCACCGCACCGCAGCACAGCCTGCGCCAGAAGGGGAGTCAAACATCTCAAGATACCCCCCGCTGGCTTCACGCGGCCATCTGCCCATGGAGCCAGCCTCGTCTTACCTCCGCTACCCAGCCGCCACCTGCCTCGTCGTCATCTTCCTCCTCCTCCTCCTCCTCCTCCTCCTCCTCCTCCTCCTCCTCCTCCTCGTTCCGAATCGTGCTCCCGCTGCAGCGGTGGCGTTATTATTTCGAGAGTCATGCCGCAACACTGTTTTCGGTCCTTCCAAAGAGGCTCCGGTTTGCCCGACAGCTCTCCTGACCCCTGGGTGTAAGCCACCACGGGCACTTGCAAACACCGTGCTGGAGAACCAAGAACACGCGGGCACACGAACCAAACGCCTCCCATTACACGAGAGAAAAACCCCAATCAGTGGATGGTTTTCGCTGAGGAGATCGACCGGGAACCCGGGAGCCCGGGAACCCAAAACCAACCGAAATCGGCCCGGAACCAATAACCGGGAACCCAGGAACCCGGAATCGGGAACCCGGGAACCTAGCCTGCTACCAAAATCGGCAAGAAACTTTCGCCAAATCTTTCAGCCTCCGCTAGGACCCCTTCAGTGCACGCACCGATTGGGAAAAATAGAGGGCGACCAGAGGAGCGCACTGCATCGCCGATGCATCGTCGATGCATCTGCGACGTCGGGGCGGAGAAGCACGGCTCCAGATCGGGGGGCGACCCACCGCCCTCATCAACAATCAAACGCATGCCAAAAGGAACCCCAAACATACGGAACTGAGTCGATTGCTCTGGCCCCGAAAGCACATAGGTGCACAGTGAACGATACAGTGCGGGCGCGGCCCGCAAGGAACACTGGCAAGAAACCCAACCCTGAGAACCCGCGCGCGAGGTACACATGAGGGTAAGCCGCAGCAGCTCCTTCACCAGCTGCCCGAAGTCACTGCGCAGCGCGAGGAGCGAAGACACCCAGGATACCCTGACGAAAAGCACATGGTCTCTTGATGCGCGCCCCCACTGTAGAGGAACAGTCATGGAACGATCGCAGGCACGGTGGGCCCCTGCGAAATCGGACTGTGCGGTATCCAGGCGTGTTGGCTGCACCTCGACCCCCTTTCGGGGGCCTGGGGCGATGAGGCGCCGCACGGCCACCGCACCAGAGGCCTCGTCCCGGCCCTGAGCCTCACCACCCTCGCCCTCACAGTCGAGTGTGAGACACGATGGACCCTTGCCAGCACCGCAAATCCCCAGGGTGGTGACACGAGGAGACCAGGCCCTCCGACGGGGTCAAAAACAGAAACGTTCGGAAGTCCGCGCGGATTCCTCAGATCGTCGCTGGAACCCGCCCTTCCTGGCGCGCGGAGCGCGCAAGGGGCAGAGCCACGGGGCCACTGGAGGCGCCGAAGGTTATAGTCTATGTGGGCATGTCTTCCTCGAGTGAGGGCGCTCTAAAGTCATCACTTCAGGCCCTCGCCCTCCTCACCCCTTCTGCGGCAGCTCATAGGGGACTCCCATACCATCTGGCTGGCTCCTGCGAATCGACGCTGGTCGACGCAAGTCGACGCTGTATCGACGCTAAATCGGCCCTGTCTCAAGGATTGCCAGACGCTAGTCGACGCGAGTACACTATTCAAATGGAACTACGAAGGTGTACCAGGCTCCAGTGACTTGCTAGCGAGCCCCCGTCGTATTCGGGGAGACGGAAGATTCGGGTTCGGAAACTCGGGTTGGCTTTACGGGGTCATCATGACGATGACGATGACGAGACCCATTCTGAAATTTGATGCGAAATCCGGCTGCAAGCATCCCACAGAAACTGGACCGTCAAATTCCGGGGGGGGGGGCTCGACAGCAAGCGCAGGCGAACCCGAGTTTCGACGTACTCAAGACTCACGTGTCCCCGATAGTGAACCTTCTCTTATTTGGCGTTTCGACATGGGCGGAAGGGGGGGGGAGGGGGTCTGGCTCTGGGCCTGTGCTCAATGCGACTGCCTGCAACAGTGCGTCCTCTGCGGGGAGACCCCACCTGCTTAAAACAAGCGCCCCAACAACCAAGATATACGCCGTGGGGGAGGGGGAACGGGGTGCCAGGGCCGCGGCCGAGCGGAAAAACAACACATAATATTGAGCTATCCCCATCCTACTTCAGGACCGCATCCCAGAAATAGTTTCGAGCACCCCGAAAAATATCCTGAGTGTGTCTGCCCGACACGCTGGCGAAGTGCCGGACGAGTGCCGCCTCCCAGGGCCGAAGACACACGCGAAGACCCTGCCGTTTCGATACCTCTCGTGGTGCTCGAACCTCCTCCTTCTGGTGGTCCAGGCTATGAAGCAGGTTGGCACAGCATCAAAAGAAGACGACCAGCAGGCTCCCAGGATTTGGTATAGCGACCCCCCCCAAGCATGGGCGCCGACGGCCCGCCACACGGCGCTCGGGCGCGCGGCCCCGCGGCGGCCGGGGGGCTGCGCGCCCGTCTTGCTTCGGCCACCGGGCGTTGCCGAACAGCCGCTGGTCGTAGTCCTGCCGCACGGGGGCCACCGGCGGCCGCGGCGCCGGGCGGCGAAGGGCAGCAGTCCAGGGGGACGCCCCTGCCGAGGTCGCGCTCGATGCCTGGCCCCACCATGTGCGCCTCATGTGGCTCTGGACCAATGCGGAAGCCGGTACATGGCTACGTGTTGCGCGTCGCGTGCTGGCGCAGCGCGCCGTGTGGTGTCCTCGCGATGCCTGCTGCAAACCAGCAGCACGCGACAGCTTGCGACAGCATGCAAGGAGTGGATTGTACAGCATTGCCGTCCACTCCCTCCTGCACGCGTGGCGAAGCGGCGCACAGAACTGCCAGGCGCGTGCTTGTTCGCATGGCGTTTGGATACGCTTCAGGACGAGGATCAGATAACTCCCAACGTGCTGTCGGACCTAGGCCAGAAGAACATCCCTCAAGAGCCTGAGACCCTCCGTCGACCAAGACGCAGACAACATCCAAGGGTGCCCTCCCCAGGGTGCACAAGAACATCCAACAGACACGATGAACACTAGGCTCACCGAACCGAACTCGATCTTATACCTCGGTTCGACTGTATGTTGTTCTCACCGTACCTAAGGACAACACGCAGTAACAAGTATTGGAATAGTGTCTGCCCGACACGCTGGCGAAATGTCGAAGGAGTAACTATCGCCTCCCAGGGCCCGACCCGCGGAAGCCCTCCCATTCTAATACTTCCCTGGTGCTCGGAGCACTTCTTGGTGGCCAAGGCTAGAGCAGGTCGGAACATCACGCGACGAGGACCCAGACGTGCCCGCGCCGGGAAAGCACTCGACGACGGCAGGCTTGGGGCAGTCGTCGGCCTTCGCGGGGGCCCTCGACGACCCCGGGGGGGGCCGTCCGCAGACACGACCCGGGGCGAACACTACTCCCCAGGGGCCGTCCGTGCACCCCTGCCGACGAAAGGTAGGACGAGGACTGCGGCACGGGCGACGAACGACGAGGATCGATGAGAGGGCCCAGGGACACACAAATTAAAAAATAGCACGAATCCCAGGATTCGCCAAAAATGCTGTTATCTTCTGGATTCTCGTCTTCCCTCCCACGCCCCATGTTTTCCAACCGTTTCCCGGGAATCGACGATGCAGTGTATCTGTGTGTCTGCTGCCCTCCTGAACCGAGAGCGATCGAGGCGCATCGAGCATCGAGCATCGATCAGGCGGCGGGGTGGCAGAGCGCACGCGCTGGAGGCCGCCCCGCCGCACAGCCGCCCGCGACGCCGGGCGGCTCGCCGAGCCGGCGGCGCTGGCGCGAGGGCGCTCGCGGCCCACAGTGGCCCCTCCAACGGCAAGGGCTCCTCCGCGGGTGGTGCTTCTGCGGCAGCCGCGGCGCCTCCTCAAGCAGCAAGAGTGTGCCTCATGCGCAGCCTCAGCCACAGCGTGCTGCCTCTGCCCTCGACGCACGGGCCGGTCATGATCTCTTCGGTCCCTCTCCAAGTGATCCCACGGGCATCGGGGTCTTGCGCGCCATGTCGATGTGTCACCAAGAACGAGCAGCATCCTCGTCAATGCACCCCTGCCCTTGCAGGATCCTGCACCCGAGCCCAGGTCAATGCACCCCTGCCCTTGCAGGATCCTGCAAGATCCAGCGCTCTGACTGACCCCCGTTTGCATTGACCTCCCTCTCTTGTCGGATGTTGCTAGAAATGCCCCTGGTCCAAGGTGCCCCCAGGATTCTCGGGGTGGCCTGGACGGCCTCCAGAGCACCCCTCACGAGGCCCAGAGGGCCTCAGGGGCCCAAACATGGAGCGAAAAGCTGGGCACTTCTAGCAACATCCGATCTTGAGCCCCGAGCAGCGGTTGGCTGGACCCAGCGCGGCCGACTGCGAGGAGCCCGAGGCGACCGAACCGCAGGTACCGCCGTGTGGCAGCCCGAGGACGGCCGCGGCGGCGAGCGCCGATGGTCGAGGCGATCGAGGGTCGAGGCGAGAGCTCGAGTAGGGGTTCGACTACAGAATGGATGTACCCCAACATTGATTGGCTCGTCGAGTCTGCGAACAATGCGTATGGTTAATGAAGGTACTGATACCTTCTACTCCCTGGACCTCTTTCCAGGTGCGTTCTGACCAGGATTTCGAGGCGAATCCAGCGGTGGCGACGAAGGCCGCCCAGGAGGCCCAGACATCGGGAGAACAAGCGACGGGCAGAGGTACGGGTACGTCTCCCTCCTCTGACCAGAAGTCGAGGCGATCGAGTACCGACGGGGGGATCGAGAGCCGAGGCGACCAGGAGGGAAGGTCTCGGGCGACGGGGGGATGCCCAGCAGCCGCGGCCCGCGCGCACACTGGCGGCGGCGGCGGCAAAATGCCGAGACTGGGACCGCCCCGCGCGCGCTCGGGCGCCTTTCGTCGCCTCTCGGCGGCCTTCTCGCAGGGCTCGGGCTGAGAAGCAGAGGAGGCCAGTCTACAAGATACCTTCCACAAGAAACCCAACTCTGAGACCACAGGACGTCTACTGATTTTTAGTGTATGGGAACGTCACGCGAACAACAGCCTGGAGGCAAGCAAAGTGTTTCTTGGCATGGGCCTCTACTGTGTGCTCCGTTCGCGTTTTGGCTTCGTTTTCCCTGGCTCCGTTTCCGGTATGCCTGTGCTGCACAGCGAGATCAAAACGAAACGGGCCCACGACATCGCCAGCACTACGTTGTGCTCGAGCCCTGACATTGCCGCCCGAGGCTACTTCTCAGCTAGGCCTCGTCGGGACGTTCCGCAGGTGCTCAGGATCGTCCCGCACGGCCGCCGAGGCCGGAGGTACGACCCGCAGACCGGATCCCATCGCGCTGCGAATCAAGCAAGGGCGGGACAATGTTGGCAATGCTCGAGCGGGGGCCGTCAACAAAATGACCCGGGATGGAAAACTAGCGCGTGGAGCGGTCGGAGACATCCAGCGGTGAAGCTGGCAAAGATCACCACATCGGAGCTCTGCCAAGGGCATAAAAAAACGCCCCTACCCCGGTTTACGAGGCGCTGTGCGCTGAAACTCCTGTGGGCTGACAGGGCAAACCCCTCGTGGTGTGCGGCGTCCAGGCGGCTCTCTGGGCTTTGGTGGTCCCCAGGAGGCTTGCAGACCACGCCCTTGTGACCGAGGGTGGGATCGTTTTTCCATCCCTCGACTCTGGGGATCGAGGCTCCTCGAGGATTGCGGCCCTCTCTGGGCGACCCGGGGCCTCCACGGCCCCCCCTGCGGTCTCCGGCGACCTCCGGGCCTGCAGACGCTGCCGGCGTCGGAGGAAGCCGGGGGGGAGGAGAACGAGAGAAGGAGCGGGGGAACGGAGAACGAGCGAAGGGAAGGGACGAGGAGATAGACTGGAATGCAATCCCCTGCCCATGGAGGGGGGGAGGGGGGCGGTCAGGTCAGGAACCAGAGCGAGAGAGTTGGGCGCGACTTCGTGGGGGGGAAGGTGCCCTTTCCGGGCCCGAAAAGGCCCACCTCGGGGACCGAAGGGACCCCTGGAGAGGCTCTGAAGGGCCCCTTTCTGCAGCCTTCGCTGCCCCCCTCTTATGGCCCCTAGATGGCGCGGCCTCCAAGAGAAAGAGACAGAGAGACAGAGAGAGAGAGAGAGAAATAGAGAGAGAGAGAGAGGATACACTGGGAGGATGGGGCGATCAGGCAGGAGGCGGGGGTGTCATTCGTTGCACCATGCTGAGCTGAACGCACCCACCAGGGACTGCTCCAACTCCTCCTCCGCCTGTTCCCCCTCCTCCTCCGCCTCCTAGGGGCCACGCCCCACCTTCCAAAACAGCATCACCCAGTGCACTCGCAGCCTGCGCAGGCCAGCGGAGGATCCTGGAATTCTGGTTTGGCCTCTCGCGCCCCTGTGCAACGGGCATGGGTAGCCACCGATGACGACCAGACGGTGGAACCAGAGGACGGGGAGGAGGAGGAGGCGCTGCAGAAGCAGGAGCCATCAAAAGGGGAAACATTGAGCAGGGAGGGTTGATGAAAGAAGGAAAAAGGAGAAGGACTGGGGAGGAGAATGAGTGCGGGGCGACGGGGCAGGGTGATGAGGGAGCATGTTCAGGAGGAGGGGAGGAGGAGCGCGGCGAACGCGTGTAGTGGATCAGCCCCTGCCTGCCCCGCGCCCAGTCCAGAATGAAACGCTCGGGGAAGGCCCACAGCATGTCCGTCATCACCGCCTGGTCGTCCTGTGAGTGTGGGCATCGGCATCGGCTTCCGAGAGGAGACGGGGGGGAGGGAGGGAGCAGGGAGCCACCGGGTAGCGGGATGGGAGGTCGATGGAGGGAGGGGGAAGAACGAAGGAGGAGCGCGAGCGGGAGGAGGAGGCGGAAGGAAGGGAGGAAAGGATGAAGCGGAGACAACGGGAAGGGCCAGGGAGGAATAGAGAGTGGGAGATAGGATGACAAAGAGGAAAAGGAGGAGGAAGAGGACCAATGTAAAACCAAGACTCATCAACGTTGTTGGAATAAACCCTCAATCCAAGCTCCCCCATCATTGGCCCCTGCAAATATTCATTTCCACTGGAAAACATGGCCCGTTGGGAGACAACCAACCGTTTGAAAATCCTGAAGCGCGCAAAAGCAGCATTGTCGGGACTTCAACTCCACGAAGCAAACTGACTGTTGCATCTCGGCGATCCTCAAGCGTGCCTGAATGCCATTCCTGGGACTTCCAAGACGTGAATCAGCGTAACTGTTGCGCCCTGGCGATCCTGAGCCACTCCAAAACACAATTTCTGGTACGGTGACAATGGGAGTCTGTGAAACTCATGCAGGTGTTCAAGAAACATGTGCACGGCGCTCCAGAGATAACCACATCTTGAAAAAGAAACAACCCTCCATCCGTAAAGCTCGTACAACTTGTTACCATGAGCAAGAGGTGTATTGTGACGCCTGTCTCTCGCCTGCAGGGTCACGTAAAGCCTGCACCCGTCTTTGGCATAGCGGTACCTCGCTGGCACCGGCGGCATCCATCCAGCACCCATTCAGGACCCGCGGTAGGGAAGGCCACAGTGGACGCTTGCCAGGAGGCACGCGAGCTAAGAGAGAGCGAGAGAGAGGAATAGAGAGAGAGAGAGAGGATGATGAGGAAAATGGTGAAACGCGGAGAGTGAGAAGGACGAGGCGCACGAGGAGAACGTCCTCCGAAGCGTCCAACTGGATGTCGGACAAGATTTGAGCCAACGCTCCGGCGCGACCGGCCATGAGCCCCGCGTTCAGGAACGGATACTGCCTTGGCTCGACAGCTCCGGCTGGGGCGTCCTCGTCCGCCTTTCGGTCCTCCTCCCACCCATCCATCCCCCTCCCGGTTACTCACTGCTCCTCCTCCTCCTCCTCCTCCTCCTCCGCCTCCGCCTCCTCCTCCTCCTCCTCCTCTTCCTCCTCATCCTCATCCTCCCCCTCTCTGGTCGTCCTCCCGCACCCGTGTCCGCGGAGCCCCGCCCCGTGAACACATGTCTCCCCCCATCCCCTCCTCTCCACATCCTCACATCCTCGCCCTCCTTCAAATCTGATTAGCAATAAACGGATCGACCCCTAACCCTTTGAAAGAGGCCTAAATCAGGAAGGCGTAAAGCATCAGGGAAAAGGGATCTGATAGTCCGGATGCATCAAACCAAACCGCCCAGATTGATCGTCCGTAATGCAACGACGGGGACAGAAGCAACGAGGCCACGTCTCCACTGTATCATCAGGGTTAGGGGTTCTTTTATCCTCGATGGAACTCTGCCCTGCGCAACTGCCAAGCACCAAAGCCTGCTGAGCCTGGCACGCGCGCCCAGCAGAAACAATAACAGACACTCAGACAGCGGGGCCACGGGGACAGCACGGTACCGGGACCGCTGCTCCCTGGACCTCTCCTGGGGCGCGTTCTGACCAAACTCCGAGGCGAATGGGGCCGTGGCGACGAGGGCTTCCCAGGAGGGTAGCGGACTCGGTAGTAACCCCATGCCCCTGATAACAAACCCATGGGGATGATAAAGTTCGGGGTTTGTGGGGGAAGGTTTTTCCAATCGGTCCCCATGGCCCTACCACACGTTCCTGACTCAGGAAAGGCTGAGAAAGTGAGAATCCCATGACCCTGCCGCGCGTTCGTGACTTGGGAAGCTGAAATGGTGAGAATCCCAGCGCCCTGCCATACGCTCGTGACTTGCGAAAGCTGAAATGGTGGGACCTCCATTGCCATGCTCAACGTTTTGGATGGCGTTGCTAGTCAACATAAGAAGATCGCAATTTCGATTCGCAACTTCCCCCCACGATACTCAAGTCCAGCCTCGCCGCCCATCTCCACAATCATATCTGCCTGACCCCGGGATAATAAACACTCAGGGGTGAAGGGGGGGTTTTTGGCATTCCTCCGATGCAGCGCCCTGCAGCGGCACCACCGAGACAGGCACGGAAGGGAACATGGAAGGAGAGGGCGCCCCACAACCACGGGAGCTCAGAGTTTGCCGCGGCAGGCGCCCCTCCCTGCTCCTGCTCCTCCTCCTCCTCCCCCTTCCTCCTGCTCCTTGCCCCCTGCGCCCTGCTCCTCCTTCTTCTCCTCTTCCTCCTCCTCCTCCTCCTCCTCCTCCTCCTTCTCCTCCTCCTCCTTCTCCTTCTCCTCCCCTCCTCCTCCTCCTCCCCCTCCTCCTCCCACCTTCTGCTTCCTCCTCCTCCCTCCTTCTCCCGCCCCCTCAAAAAAAAACACATCCGCCGAAAGAAGCGTCGCACCACTCCCCGCCCCGGAGATCCCCAGAGGCACGCCCCAGAACCCCGCGGCGGCGGCGACGACGGCAACGGCGCGACGCCGCCGCCCTCGCTGGTGGAGGGCGCCGCCGGCGACGGCGCGACGACGCCGCTGCCGACGGCGCGACGACGGCGAGGAAGGCGACGGCGAGACGACGCCGCGAGGGCGCGGCGACGACGGCGAGGATCGCGCCGTGAACCACCGCAGGGCTGGGCCAGCGCTGCCGGCGGGACGGCCGACGGGCGAGCGGGACGCCGCCGACACCTCGCCCTTCGGGCCGCGGCCGTCGGGCCTGCCCAGACATGCGACGCCCTGATGTTTTCAATACGGTGCCCCTGGAAGACCCGACCCTTTCCCCGGGGCCGGCCTTGTGCCCCGAGGCGCTTCTTGATGGCCGAGGCCCGGCGAGGGCCCCCCGAGGCCGAAACTGGCCAAAAACCTCCCGCCCTGATTTTTGTTTGCGACGCGATCAAGTCTGGGTCCAAGTCCTCGACGGCCTCGGCCCTCGGCCCTCGGGCGCCTCCGCCGTCCCATCCTCGGGCCTCGGCCCTCTGACGGGCCTCCGCCGCCCCCAAGCCTCGGGCCTCGGCCCTCGCAGTCCCCGAGCCCTCGAAGTCCTGAGCCCTCGAGGCCCGCGGGGTCCTCGACGTCCTCCTCCTCCTCCTCCTCCTCCTCCTCCTCCTCCTCCCCCTCCTCCTCCCCTCCTCCTCCTCCTCCTCCTCCTCCTCCTCCTCCTCCTCCTCCTCCTCCTCCTCCCCGTCCTCGTCCTCGTCGTCGTCCTCCTCCTCCTCCTCCTCCTCCCTTTCCGCCCTGCTCCCCCGCGAGGAGATAGGGGGAAGGGAGGACATGGTCAGGAGGGGCGGAGGAGGGAGGACAAGGAAACGAAAAACGAGATACCCATAAACTTTCAGAGGTCCGCGCGGATTTCTTGGATCTGCTCTGGAACCACACTCCCTGGCGCACGGAGCGCGCCGGGTGCGGCGCCAGAGACGCTGCCAGGGGGGGCCCAACGCCAATCCAAGGAATCCCCGCGGGGTTCCAAATATCTGTGTTTACGCAGCCGCCTTTTCTTCCTCGGAGGAAGAGGAGGGGGGGGGAAGCACAACGCACAGAGGGGGGGAGGGGGAATCGCTCTTCTTAGGGGGCAAGGGATGGGGAGGCAAGAGGGTGACCAAAGCAAAGCAACGAACTATCGGACCCAATATCTCCCTTTGCTACGAGACACAGCTTGGATCCGAGTAGCTCCAGCAGGCCTCCTGCGTGAAGGGGCCTGCTGGCGGCGAACGCTCAGTCCCGGAGACGGCCCCCATAGGGAGGGCTATCCGTCTCATGGCGCCGCCCCTCCCCCTACAAAGAGGAAGACCCTCGAAATCCTTGGAAATCCCTGGGCATCCATCGCAATCCTCCAGAATCCCTAGGAATCCCTAGGATTAAGTCGGGTTTGTCCCCCTACAGGGGGATTTTGGGCGAAAAAAATACTCAAACTATACGCCAAAATTGCCAGAAATAATGCTACAAACAAAGCGCCCCCTGACTATTTATTTTACCATGTTGGGGGTATTTCAGTTTCTTCATCGAAGCTCCCCCTGTAGGGGGGCACGCCGGATTTAACCCTAGGAATTCCGTCGAAATCATTCGCAATCTTTTGAATCGGGGGAAAACAAACCTACCTCGCTTTTGACCACCCTCGCTTCCAAGAGATACCAAACTATGCCAAATTGCAGCCTGTACTGGTCAAGCCGCTTGACGAGGAAACGCGTGGTATGGCTTGGTTTCGCCTGGAAGCGAAAGCGGGGGAGGTAATGCACGCTCTGAAGGAAATCCGTCGAAATCATTCGCAATCCTTTGAAATCCATTGAAAACTCCTTTCGTGCGAGGGCGGCCTCGGCCTCGCGGCGTTCCGCGCGGCGCCGGCGGGGCGGCAGAGCCCGGCGCGTGCCGTTGAAGCCGCGCTGCGCCGCGAGGCCGACCATGAAGTCCTGCCACGACCTGCGGCATTGCGCCGGGGGCGCGGGCCGCCATTAGGGGGAAAACAAGCCTACCTCGTTTTTGACCACCCTCGCTTCCAAGAGATACCAAGCGATGCCAAATTGCAGCCTGTACTGGTCAGGCCGCTTGACGAGGAGGCGCGTGGTATGGCTTGGTTTTGCCTGGAAGCGAAAGCGGGGTAGGTAATTCACGCTCTGAACAAAACCCCATCTAGCAAAACGCGGTTTTGTAAAAACGACCTCGGACCCAAACCTGGCGGGCGCAAGCCTGGAATATGACGGCCGCGGCGCCCTCTCGAGAACCGAAGACGGACAATTCACGAATCGAGGTGTCAGGGTGGGGGTTCTGTCCACACCCGACGCCAAGCTCTGAGATCCTGGCGCTGCAAGCCCAGGCAGGGTCGCGTCGAACACGAAAGACAAAGGACGGAAACTTTTTGGCCAATTTCGGACGCGGGCCGAGGCCCGAGGCTTGGGGGCGGCGGAGGCCCGTCAGAGGGCCGAGGCCCGAGGATGGGACGGCGGAGGCGCCCGAGGGCCGAGGGCCGAGGCGGTCGAGGCCGTCGAGGACTTGGACCCAGACTTGATCGCGTCGTGCAAGAAATCATGGCGGGAGGTTTTGGGCCAGTTTCGGCCTCGGGGGCCCTCGCCAGGCCTCGGGGCCATCAAAAAGCGCCTCGGGGCACAAGTCCGGCCCCGGGGAAAGGGTCGGGTCTTCCAGGGGCACCGTATTGAAAACATCAGGGCGTCGCATGTCTGGGACTCCGGCTCCTGAGCTCGCTCCGGCTTCCGTGCAACATCCCCACCGCGGCCCCTGTGAGGCCGCAGCGTGTCCCGAGGGGCCTTTTCTAAGCGTTTCCCAATACGTCTGCCGGGAAGCTCCCCAGAAGGTCTTTCGGCAGCTCTATCCAGGTTCTTGCGGACATCTGCGACAGGCCTCCGCACGCCCTGCTTGCGCCCTGCTATCAGGGTTTGGGATCCCACAAATTTTGACACTAGATCCCGTGCAAACATATCACGAAGATCAGGCCGTCAAAACCATGCCGGGAATAGCAAAAAGTGTCACTGTTGGCGCCCCCCTGATGGGGGAAACAGTGTTTGTTTGTTTTTTGTGGGGGGGGGATTTTCAGTTTCCTCTGAACATGTTTTGATGCGATCGCACCGCCGGATTGCGCAGCCTGACGAGCTGGAGCGTCGATCGAGCCAATGCAATCTCCAAGTGCCGACGACCCAGAAGCGGCAAATGCCTGCACCTGGGCGTCTGCTCTCGGAGCTGAATTCACTTCTCAGATTTCCTGAATTCACCCGCCGCTCGGCCCCCGCCGAGTTCGAACGGCGGGGCTGCTGGGGCCGATTGCGCCGCGACGGCCTTGGCGTTGACCAGCCGAAGCTTCGAAGTCATTCGCCGACGCATCATAAGCTAAACGGGCCAGCGGGGCCGAGTTGCGAAAGAGGCAAAACCCCAGGAATGGACCGCCGACGCGCTCAAGAGAAGTACCAAGCACGGGATCAACGAAGTGCGGTCGTTCGGGGGGCTTGCAAAAGCTCTCAGGGCTGCAAAAATTCCGACTGCTGCGCGAAGGCCCCGGCGCCACCATTTCTGACAGCAGCGCGTCGTTAAGTTTGCGGGCGCGCAATTGACGGCACGCGCGATGCAAGCGCCAACAACTGCACGTTACCTCCGAGCAAACAGCGCTCGCTGACAACGAAATGCAGCGAGCGTTCCCTGGCCCAACCAAACACGACGCCATGGTGCTGGATGAAAATACAACATCTCTGCAAGTCGTTCTGCTTGCAAGCCCACGCCCACATGTTACGACAGCGTTTCCTGCGCGCCGATGCTTCTTTATAAGTATGTCATGCGCATTCGAATGTCAATTCCCAGCGTTTCAAATCGAATTACCATGAACAGTTCGGGGCATGTGTTGCCCGCCGATGACGGTTCTGACTATCAGGGGCACCTTCAGCGCGCAGGTTTGTTTGTAAACTCCGAACCAAAAGTCCGGACACAATTGACCGCGCCAGCCACCGCCAGAGGCGAGACAAAAACGCCAGGAGACCTTTCAGCTGCTTTCAATCACGGTCAGCATCGACCCACTGTTGAATCAAAGTCAAATCGAAAATCCTCGCCGTCCTCCTCCTCCTCGTCCTCCTCCTCCTCCCCTTCTCCTCCCACTGGGGATGGCCCAAGGCGCCCTTCCAGTCGAAGGAGACCCCGGTGGAGCGCCTTGGAGCCTCCTGGAGCCTCCTGGGGCCTCTTTGGGCCTCCGGGGGCATCCTGGGAAGATGTCACCACCCTCGTAAATATCCTCTCTCGCGACGTGGCCCAATGGTGGGGTGAAACAAATCGTCGAAAAACCTCTGTCGGATTTTTCGCTGTGTTCTCACAGGTATACGTGGCCCCGGGAAGAAACCAAAACAACAGGTTTTTATACCATGTGCGTGCTCCACCGGCCCAAAACAAATCGACGGGCCCCCAAAAAAGGCCACAAAGTTTTTCGACGGGGTCCAACAAGAAAGGTCGTCAATTTTTTCGACGGGCCCGCGCCGATTTTCGACGGGAACGTCGCCCGGTGGATTTTTCCCGATGGCCCCCGGGCCTGGAGCACGACGTACCAGGGCTGCGGGGTCACGGACAGCACGGGCCACGGAACACCCCTTCACGCGGATCGCGCCTCACAGGCTGCTGCAAGCGCGGTGGCGGACATGGAAACAGAGGGAGGAATGCCGTAGCCATTTGGGCCAAAGTTTTGCCTCGTTCGAGGCCGGTCGGGAGTAGTCCCAAGTGTAGCAGCCCGTCAGGACCGGGAAGACGCCCGACCGTCCCTACACGCTGCCGACTCTCGGTGCGGGGATGGGGTCCGATGATGATCATGCTATCGATGATTGCGAAGACTGCGATGAGGATAGTGCTTTTGTTTATGTTGTCAAACATGTGGCACGTCGGCCACGCGACGATGGCACATAGTCCAGAACCATCCCAACAAAAACAACGAAAAACGCACAAGCGCCAACCAGAAACTTGAAAAACAACGAACGCTCATGATTAAAACGAGGATCGGGAGCGGGAGCACGCGCGAATGCGATGTTTTCTCGGCCTCAAAGTAGGAGCTGGCGGCACGCTGGCGCACGCTTGCAGCCCGCAGTGGGCCCCGAAGCAAAACCCGCTGGACATCGCAAACCGAAAAATCGCCGAAACGCGCCGCGTTGTCCTCGGGGCACGCAGCGCCACTCATAGAACAATAGCGCAGGAAGAGGCGGCTCGTGCAACGGACACATCAACGTGGCCGTCGAAAACAATCGCCTGAAACCAGTGGCGCCCCGAAAGCTCGGAACCAAACGCAAGCATACCGACATGGCCATCGGTGTTCCCTGGCTTGGGCACAGACGCGACGCGCAAACGAAAACCTCAAGTGCCAAAACCAATTGAACAAAAAAAATCACATGCTTTCGCGTTCGACATGACCGAGTGCGCCCAGGAGGCGACGCGACATCGCCTCGAGGACTTTGGCCATCGGCCGCAGACCGCGCTGACGGCGGACCCCGCCACGCCGCGCCCACCTTGCGCACTCTGCAGCGGGCGCGACCCTTGCAGCGCGGACGCTGCGGCGTCTGACGCGCATGACTCGGGTAGGCGAGGCGCTTCAATGGAAAAACCTCATCTTGCCCGCCCGCGCCCGCGACGCCCGCACTCTACCTGCGTCGCCCCGTCAGAACAACAAATCCGGCCTTAGCCCCTGCCCATGGCGAAAAGTGTCGGGCGTCGCCGTGCGGTGCGGGGGGGGCGAGAAGGCGATAAACGAAGGGGGGGGAAGAGAGGTGCCCTTTTCGGGCCCACAATGCCATTTGGGGCCCCGACGGGCCCCTTTTAGAGGCCAGGAAGGGCCCTGTTCGGCAGCCTTCGCGGCCCCCCCATGTACCGTCCCCCCCTTGCAAGCCCCCGGTCCCTCGAGCCCCCGATCCCTCGAGCCTTACGCGTCCCCCCCTTTCCCCCTTTTTGCGCGGTGCGCTGCTCCAGGGGGACGGCGCGAGGGCGGCGGCCGCCTGCCGAGGTGGCGCGGGGCCTCCGGGACAGGGCTCGAGATCAGCAGTGCTGCCCCTCTCCCTCCTCCTCCTCCCCCTCCTCCTTCTCTTTTTCCTTTTCCTTTTCCCCTCCTCCACCTCCTCCAATTCCTCCTCGTCCTCCGTTTCCACTCGATGTTCGTCTTCCTTCGCTCCGTTTTCGTTCCGCCTTTGCTGCGGAACGGCATCAAAGCTCACGGGGTCCACGGCATCTCCCAAAGTCCGTTCATCGGGGGCGCGCAAACATGGATTATCGATCCATGGATTTGGCGCGCGGCCGACTAATCCATGGATCGGGGGAGCTGCCCGAGCTCAGACTCTCGAGCCGCTCAGCTCGAACCAGCCAGCCTTCTGAGAAGTGTCCTGTGCCTTCGTCTAAGACACAGACAACTTCTCAGAAGGTGCGGGGGCTTATGAGAAGTCCCGCCGCTTCCTGAGAGGGCCTTCTTTTTCTCATTTCCCCCCTCGTTCGCCGCCCAGTTAAGTTCGAGCCCTGCTTCTCGGAAGGTCCCCGCATTCCCACAACCCCCCCGCCATTCTCGGCTACACGCAAGAATGAACCTTGGGTAAGAGCGACCCTTGGTGCGCGGTTTTCTGAAAGCCGCGGCGGGGACCAACCACAAGCGCGCACCCAGACCCCCGACGTCGTGATCTGTTCGCAGCATCGAACCCAAAAGGTCTGGACCTTAAGTTTCCCCCGGACCGGTTTCTTTTCCTGATTCGTGATGTGACGCTCCCGAGGCCCGCGAAGGGCCAACAAAGGCCGAAACGAACGAGAAACCTGCTGTCGTTTTTTTTTTTACACCGCGAGGAGGTATGGCCCCTGGCCTCGGCGAGGAGGTCTGACGCTGCCGTAGCACCGCTCTCGGCCATCAGGAGGCCCCAAAAGGCCCGCACCTAAGGTCACTCTGGCAAGAGAGGTCACTCTTACGTTCGGCGGCAACGATCGGGGGAGACTGGCATAGGAGGGGACGCATCGCCGATGGATAGGCGACAGGCCCCCGATACTGGATCCGCACCTTCCTGGGCAGGTTGGGGCTATCGGGCCCCTATCGGCGATCAATGGGCGATTGGGGGTCGATGCATCCCCCCTATGCCTGTCCCGAGCAGGAGGAGGAGGAGGAGGAGGAGGAGGAGGAGGAGGAGGAGGAGGAGGAGGAGGAGGAGGAGGTGAATGGGGGAGGATGGAGGAGGAGGAAGAGGAGGAGGAGGAGGAGGAGGAGGAGGAGGAGGAGGAGGAGGAGGAGGAGGAGGAGGAGGAGAGGGGGGAGGAGGACGATATGAGATATGATATACAAAGGGGACGCAGCGTCCCTCCAACCACTCTACGAGCACTCAGGAGGTCCCTCAATGAAGCCCTCGTGAGAGCTCTCAGGAGGTCCCTCGTTGGAGCCCGCAGGAGCCGCTCCTACACCTGACTGGACAATCAGGGAGGCGTCCTTGCCCCCCTTTGGCAGACCAGCATAGCTCGGGACCTTGCCCTGCTTGATCCTTGTGAGATTATGTTGCCCCCTCTTGGTGGGGCAGCGGCACGGTACGGCCAGCCCAACCAGCTTCAGTGTGGCCGTCGAACCGCACACATTGCAAAATAACAGATGGTGCTCCTGCCGAAGTAACAGCTCATGAGACGGGTGGACCACTTGGCTCCCAAGGATCGAGTACGAATTGCACTTAACAGTGCTGCTCGGGACGCCCACCCCGCCGCCCACCATAGGTGCAGGAATGGGGGTACATGAAGACTCGGCCGCTTCCTCGATCCTGGACACAGGAACCAAAAGGCGGCACGCAGAACACAGCCAGCAACCACCCTGAACGGAGGTCCAGGCATGCTGGCTGGCCGCCAAGGCTCGGGTGAGCTTTGGCTGAGGAGCGGACCGAGTCTTCGGAGGCCCGCTGGCCTCCCAAGCGTCAACCTCGAGGGTGTCAATCAGGGCCTTCCGTGCACGAGTCCTAGCCTGCGCAGCGATGGTGTCCCACACATCAGTGTGCGGGGCGTCGCCGACGAGCCCCCGAGAGAGGGCCTCTTGGGCCGCAGCTCCCGCCAGGGCATCAGCACAGGCATTTCCAGCGGCGCGGAAGATCACACTAGGCGAGACTAGTAGGTGGGCCTGCTCGCCCATGTGGGACGGGATCCACACAACAGGTATCTCGGCAGCTCCATGGGGTCCTCTGGAGGCCAAACCCCGTCTCACGAGCCCAGAGGCCCCCATTCACCCCAAGAGGAGAGGCCTGCCTGCCCGAGAGCCACCCTAGGTACAAGGCCCTATTGTCAGTGTAAAAGACACAAGGGCCTTCTGTCGACTCGACGGCAAGGGCGAAGGCCAAAAGCTCCGCGCGTGGACGGTCTGGCGCGCTGGCATTCCGCCCAGCATGCCTCCCTCGAGGCGCCAGGCGCTCTCCTCCTCGCCAAAAGAGACGGAGCAAAAAGCAGCTCCGCAGCGACGACGGCGAGGGTCCGCAATGTGGGCCCCCCCGCTGCCGTCTCCAAAAAGATGGAGCACTCCATCAGAGCCTCGAGCCCTACGGAAGTCGCCAACCTCGAAGGACCACTCCGTGAAGCCCTCGTCATACAGCGGCGTCGTGAGGCGCAGCGCGGGGAGGCCGCGGAGCCACAGCGACGGCTGGCTCTCATGCTGGGCGCTGGCCTGCGCCGCAAGGTGGCTGGTGGAATCGTGTTCCTTGCACCCTCGGTTCGCAGGGCACGTCCAAATTCGGTGATACAAAGTCGCGTCCTCGTGGCCGCAGCGGGGGCACGTGGCTGACTCCAGCTCGTAGTCCGCATCTCTTTGCCTGACCCGCGGCCATTGGCCACCAGACGTGACCACGATGTTCCGCGCGTACATGTCCATCTGGCCTCTGGAGAGGTAGTGCTGCTGCTCACGAACGATGACGGTGGCATCCGCACCCTCGCACAAGTCGTCACCGTGCAGGTGCTTGCTGGCCACGCCCCGCAACACCCGCTTGAGGTCCGCCACGAATTCGTCCTGCACCGCCGACGTGTCCATGTCCAGATCCTCGTGGCCAGGAAGGCGCCGTTCGACGCCAGCGGCTGTCGTCCACGATCGAGCCGTAGTAGGTGTCCAGCACGCGTCCAGCAGCATCGCCATGAGCGCCGCCATGGGGCCACACACAGCACGCCACCTCCGCTTGGGCCCTGCACGCACCAGCTTGGCCAAGACGCTGGGCCACGCACACTCGATACGCCTGTGGAGCTGCGGGACCCGCCTCCAGAGGTCGAGCCATTCACCCAAGAGCTGGCGCCTGAGCTCCAGTCCAGGCTCTTTGTCGCCGTGGAGCGTGCCCAGGAGGCTCGTGAGGCACCTCCCAGGACCCTTACCCGCGGCGGAGAGTGCTGCGCTCCGCCTCAGCCTGAGGATAGCCGAGGGAGCAAGGCCAGATGCCTGGTGGCCGTACGTCGACCTCGGCAGCGCGGCCGTGGACCACAGCGCCTTGGTCACACGGGAGAGCTGGACGTGGCGCCTCATCCTGAGGGGGGGGGGAGGAGGAGGAGGAGGAGGAGGAGGAGGAGGAGGAGGAGGAGGAGGAGGAGGAGGAGGAGGAGGAGGAGGAGGAGGAGGGAGGAGGAGGAGGGAGGAGGAGGAGGGAGGAGGAGGAGGAGGAGGTGGGAGGGAGGACGAGGAGGAGGAGAAGGAGGAGGAGGAGGGAGGAGGGAGGAGGGAGGGGAGGGAGGAGGGAGGAGGAGGGAGGAGGAGGAGGAGGAGGAGGAGGAAGATGGAGGCTATCCCCCCGATAGTTGCCCCTGATACGTCCAGTGAAACTTCCGAGGGAGGCCGCCTCCCTCGGGCCCACCCCCTGGTGCCGCCCGCCAACGGGCTTCACTGGTCAACAAGAGGCCTGCAACGCCGCATGCCCATCAACCTGACTATCCTCCCCCTCCTCCTCCTCCTCCTCTCCTCCTCCTTCTCCTCATCTTCCTTCTCCTCCCTCCTCCTCCTCCCTCCTCTCTCCCTCCTCCTCCTCCTCGTCCTTCTCCTCCTCCCTCCTCCTCCCTCCTCCTCCTCCTCCTCCTCCCCTTCCCTTTCCCCCCCCCCTCCTCCTTCCCCTCCTTCTCCTCCTCCTCCCCCCTCCTCCACCTCCTCCTCCTCCGCCTGCAGCACCGCATGCCCATCACCTCTCTAACAGGGCACACGTCGACTCTTGTCACAGGCTTCGTGGGGCTTTAGGATGGACCAGACATCTGGGACCCGGCCCCGGGATGTGCGATTGGGGGGCGCCCATCCTCGATCGAGGTGCGTCCGAGTAGCCCCCCTGCGGTGTATCCCAAAATTGGCTTCTCTGGCGGAGCCCGGGAATTGGGAACAATCGCCTGCAACTCTCCTCCTCCTCCTCCTCCTCCGCCTCCTCCTCCTCCTCCGCCTCCTCATCCCAACTGCTACTGAGCGTCCCCGTGCAGGCGCAACCACCGTGCAACAACGAGAAGCGCCGAAGAGAGAACGCCGCGGCTCGTCGAGCCTCGGCCGAGAGCTCCAAAACCGGAGCCCCCCTAGAGCCCTCCTTCCGTCAACATGTTGGCTGTACTGCTTCATCGCCGTCCCCCACCTATTGAACGGGGACCGACCGTCCTGGCATTCCTATAGGCCTACCACAAATTGTTCTTAGAACCCAAGGATGTTCTAACACATAACAATGTTCTTAGAACATGAACCCGATGTGTTAAACAAAGACAGTCCCAGCCAAACATGTTCTAAGAACATTTCGTGGAAACCATAAAATGTTCGTAAAACATGATTTGGTCGGCCTATTTGGCGATCCAGGTCGTTTCTTCACTGCTTGACACCTACGGCCGCACCCACCCGGATGACTTGTCACGGCCGAGGCCCATGCAGCCGCTGGCGCCGGAGTTGCAGGCGCGCTTCCTCGGGAGGATTCTCGTGGATTGGACGAGCGGGAGGGGACGAGACGGCGATGGCAGGAGGAGGGACGGGGAGAGGCGGGAGGGGCACCGCGAGGGAGGACGAGAGAGGAGAGGGGAGGACGGGAGGAGGAACGAGGGGGGAATCAGAGGAAAAGGGAGAGAGCAGGATGGAGAGTGGAAGAGGAGGGGGAGGAGGGGGAGGAGGAGGAGGTGGAGGAGGTGGAGGAGAAGGAGGACGAGGAGGAATTGGATGAGGACGAGGATGAGGAACTGGCGCCACTGGCGCCGGAGCAAGCAAGCTTCCTCCGCGTCGTGCGCGTGTTGTTCCTCTGGATGAGTGAGCCGGGCTCCACGTAGGAGAGGGCACCTCCAGAGGAGGAGGGCGGAGAAGGATGGAGAAAGAGGAAGGAGAGGTGCAACAGAGACGATGGTGGCTCGAAGAACAAGGAAGATGAAAACACACGTTGCTGAAGTCACGTATGAAGCATCAATAGGCCCTGCTCTGGAGACGCAGACGAAAGTCCGATGCTGACGGCTCTTGCCCAGGCCTGTCGCGTCACGTGTGTCCAGCTTCCTGGAAGTATTGAAAGGGAAAAGGAACATCGGTGGGAGAGGTAGCATCTTGCGAATATGTGGAGGGTGAGGGGGAACAGGAGGACGAGAGACTGGAGAAGATGAGAGTGAACAACGCAAGAGAAACAGGTGCAAATGCAGAAGGAGGACCCGCAGTAAGAAGAAGGGGGGAATCCGCTCTCTCTCTCTCTCTCACAACTCATCTTTTCTTCTTCTTCTTCTTATTCTTCTCTCTCTCTCTTTTTCCCTCCAATTCTCTCTCTCTCTCTCTTTCGTCTTCTCGTTGTGCACAGAGACGCCGTCTGCGGCGTCCCGCGGCACTCTCCTTCCCCCAGTCACGCTGTGCCTCCAGGGCTCCGCCTTGCTGCTCCAGAGACACCGGTGGGCGACGGAGCCGGTCGCGGCGGGACTCCCCAGGGGTTCCCGCGGTCCAGCTCCTCTTTCGACGCCCGAAATGGGTACCGAAAGAATGGGTACAATGCCCAACAGCAAATGTTGTCCCAAACCAACAGCGGCCGCTGTTGGGCAGGCGGCCTCCTGTCTCGAATGGACACAGGCCGCGGCGGCGTGGACAACGAGCCCTGTTCAAAATGAACAAGATCCGCTGTTGGGCATTGTACCCATTCTTTCAGTACCCATTTCGTGCGTGCAGATCCTCGGTCCCGTTCCCCCCCTGGGACAGCTGCCCGGGGTTCCCCAGCTCGACCTCGGGACCAAAGGCGTTCGTCAGGGTCCCCTGTTGGCAGGCAACTGCTGGGAGGGCTTCGTCGGAAGGACGAAGGAGGATTGAGCCCCCTTGAGGGGCTGCTGCGCCGGATTAGGCCGCGGATCAAGCGGGACTATGCTTGATTAAACAGGATTAAGACAGTTGAATCGGGATTAAACAAACTTAAACGGGATGAAGTCGGACTTCGGACCAGGGCAAAGTCAGAATTTGACCCCCCAGGAGTTGAATCCGAATCCTTTGGTCCCATTGGTCTTGTGTCGTACTGTTTCTGCAAGGCCAGCCCTCTTCGCGTTCCTCGGGGTCCCCTAAGGGCATCCATTGGAAAGTGCGTCCGTACCGTTTCGGAACGCCAGCCTTCCTCGTTCTCCGAAGGAGCCCTAGTGTTGTTTCACGAATGCTGAATCAATTCGAAATTGGACCCAGCAATTCAAATCGATGCCGGGTGATGCCAACAAATGCAAACCAATGCAAAGCAATCCCTAGCGGTGCCAAGCCACGCCATGCGAATCAACAAGCAACGCCAAGTACTACAAAGCGGCGCCATTCAATGCAAGTCAATGCAAGTCAATGCCAAGCAATGCCCAGCAACGCAACGAAATGCACAACAACGCAAAACAATGCCAAACAATGCGAACCAATTGGAAGCAATTCAAAGCAAAGCAACGCAATGCAATTGAACGCCAAGCAATGCCAAGCAATAATCAGCAATGTCAAGAAACGCAAATCCATCAATGCAATGCCACGCAAGACAACGCAATGCCGCATAAGCCCAAAACGACCCCAATTAAGGGAACGCGCTAAGCGGCATTGCTTGGCATCGCTTGACATGGCGTGGCATCGCTTTTCATCGTTTAGCAGTGTCTGGCATCTCTTGGCATCGCAGGGGCATCAATACCAAAACAAGCACGCCTGTTCAAGAGCGGGCCAACAAGGCAATGGAAGCCGAGGAAAGCCAGCCTCGCAAACGCAGGAAGGAGACAACACCAAGATAACCCCCAAACAACCTGGGGCACCCGAAGAACGCCAAGCAGTGGTCGAGACCTCTGGGGGTCGAAGCTACGACGCAGCTCACAAGGTCAGGGGCCTGGGGACGCCGCGATTCTTTCACGAGGACCCCCGCAAAGCTCTCCAGCCCTTCCCGTGGCCCGGCCTCTCAGCCCAGAAAGTTTTCTGATGGCCCCCAGGGCCCCGTGAGGGCCCCCAGGGGCAGGCAAGCTGCCCCAAAACACCTGCGAGCGCACTGCTGTTTCGCAGCGATCTGAGGTCAGGGTGTAACGGCCTGGACCAGCGCTGCCATCCCCCCCCCCCGTGTTGTGGACACCCTAGACGGGTAAGGAAGAAGCGGGCACGATACCCAACAGCGAGAGATGTCCCAACGCGACAGCGGCCGCAATTGGGGAAGTGGCTTGATGTGAATGGACATCGGCCGCGGCGACACGGACACCGAATTCTCGAATCGCCAGAAAACTCACCAAAACTGCTCTCGGTCTTCGTCCACATCCTTCGTCGTGCAGGCCCGGTCCCATTCCCCCGAGGTCGTGATTCTTTCGCAACCCTCAGAAGTATCAACACCTTCCCTGGGACTGGTGTGCCATCCTGGGCCATTCTCTGGCGGTCCCGAGGCCCCGTGAGGGGTCCCAAGGCCGACGAGAGCCAAAAACATCCCGTCGTGTCCTTAAGTCTAGGCCGGGCATGTCCCCCTAAAGGCAGATTTTGGAGGGAAAATCAAAAACTAGTCAAAACATGCTAAAACAAACTGTTAAACCATCATCGGGAACTCGTCCCTAGAGTATTTTCTGACGATTTCTGAATATTCCTCCTGTAGAGGGACATGCCCGACTGAACCCGAAGGCCGACGAGAGCGAAAAGCCTCCCGTCGCGCTCTTCATCCCAGCGCGAGGGGGCCTGGTGCGGAGAGGAGACCCCGCCCTGGCACCGACGCAGCACTGGGCCTCCGCGGAGATGACCACCGCGTCCTTGCTCTGGCCCTTCGTCATCCGCCTCGGGGCCCCCCTTCCCCCTCGGCGCACCCCCCCTCTCGGCGGCCCCCCCCCCCTCGGCGCCCGCCCCCGAGGGAGAGAAAGAGAGAGAGACTCAGAGAGGAACAGCGAGGGCGAGAGAGGGCGAGGGAGAGAGAGAGAGACAGAGGGGATCGGACGCAGACCCCCTCGCGCTGTGGAAATCATCGCGACGGGAGGTGTTTCCATATCTTCGGCATCCAGGGACCCTCGCCGGGCCTCGGGACTTCCAAAAACGACTCACGATGAAAAGCTGGTCCCTGTGAAGGGGTCGAGACCTTTTGGGGGTCGACGGTGCGACAAAAACCACGACTTTGGGGGACTGAAGAGACAGAGAGCATCGGAGGGGGATGGGGAAGTAGGCGGCGCACACGGGGAGGTAGGGGGAGGGGGGAAGGCTTCTCAGAACCAGCCCTGCTTCTCATAAGGCGCCTTCTCCCCCCCTACCAAACAGCGCACGCTGCCAAGGGAGGGAGGAGGAGGCGGACGGTTTCTTATTCGCCCTCCTCCTCCTCCTCGTCTTCATCCTTCCACCCTCATCGATCGATCATCCCTCATCCTGCTATATCGCCCTTCTCTTCATCCTCACCACGTTGCCCGTCTCCTCCCCCGCGTCCTCCTCCATCTCCCCATGCCCCTCTTCCTCCTTCTCTTCTTCCGTGCCACCTTCTCCCCCCAATCGCCTCCCCCCTCCTGGGGAGGCTCCAAAAAAGTGCTGATACCGCTACTGCCTGGACCTCTGCCGGGGTGCGTTCTGGCCAGACCTTCTAGGCTAATCCAGCGGTGGCGACGCGAGCCTCCCAGGAAGCCCAAAACGAGGAAAACGAGGCAGGGGTAACAGTAAGTATGAATACCTCCCCAGAAGCCGACGTGGTGAGTTGTTCGAAACGTCGACCCCCGCAGGTCTCGACCCCTTCCCTGGGATTGGTTTGTCATCCTGACTCGTTTTGTGACGCCCCCAGGGCCCAGGAAGGGCCCCAGGGGCCGAAGATGGCGGCAAACCTCCCGTCGTGATTTTGTCACTGAGAGGGTCTGGGGCTTTCTCCTCTGACATCCCCCCTTCTCGACTTCCTGCCGGTCCTCCTCCTTCGCCTCCTCTGCTGGGGGCGGCGCAAGTACTCGTCGCGGAAAGCGCAGAAAGCGGTACCCGGCGGGCCCCTGCCGCGCCCGCGCGCGCCGCATCCGCCGCTGCCGCTGCCGCCAGCGTGGACGTCGCCGCCGTCGCTGCCACAGCGGTGCGTGGTCCTCGCCGTCGCAATGGCGGAGGAGGAGGGAGAGGACGATCGCTGGGACCTGGTGGGCCCTGGAAGCGCCAGGGCGTGCTTGCTTACCGGCTCCGTTTTGCAGTTATGTCTTGTCGGTGCTGGCGCGTGTGGTGTTTTTGTTGTCTTGTTTGTTTGTTTGTGTTGTTTCAGCTGTTTCCGAATTCCGTCGCCAAGTGTTTTGCCCGGTTCCGGTCCCAACTCCATTCCCATCACAATGTGTTGTCCCCCGTTCAGGCTCGTGTTTAGTGCGTGTGCATCGATAAGGACGTGTGTATATATATGTATATATACATATACATACACATGCATACACGTGTACGCGTATCCACGTGAGTCGGTATGTAGGTAGGTATGTATGTATGTCTATATGGATATGTGTGTAATTATGTATGTATGTATGTATAAATGTGTATATGCATGTATGAGGGTATGCATGTACGCATGTCTGTATGTATGTGTGCATGCGCACACATACGTACACACATACATACACACACGCACACACAAACATGCACACCTGCATACATACACGCAACCACATATATATATATATATACACATCAATGTATACATACATGCATGCAACTATACATACATATATGTATACATAAATACATGCATGCATGCATACATATGCATAAACATTCACGCATATGCATATACTGTGCGTGAGAAAGGCAAGCCGCTGTCATGTGCTAGAAGTTGGTTCTTTTATTTGTCAGCGGCATAAAACATGTTTTGCGAGGGGACGATAAAGAGAAAATCGCTATCCTGGCGAAGGACCCAACCGCATGCAGTTGCGATAACCACAATTGTGAGTATCTTCTTCGGTGGCGCCCACGAATCGCATGAGGGGCGTGCCGAAATGTGGCGGGGCACACAACGTGAAGGAAAACGATGGGTCGAATTACGAGAGACTGAGCGTTGGTAAACCTACGCGCGAGAAAATCTGAGTGTGCATGAATCTGCGTGCGAGTGAATAAATTTGCACGAGTGCGATCAAGGCTACGGTTCGTGAAAATGCACATGTTACGACCCGCTCTCTGGAATCGTCCTTGGAGCCGCAGATCAAATTACCCTGGCGACGTACCCAACCCCTGCGCAAAAGCGGGGCGCAAATAGTTTAGGATACTTTATAAGGGGGCGATGACGGAGCGAGGGTTACATATGTCTGCAGACGGAATTCGGGAGACTCGCAGGACACTGGCTACAGGAAAAGGGCTTGATAAAGCTGATGATTTACAATTCCTGAGCACTCCTAGCCACTTCGAAAACGGGGATCACAGCAGGCCTCGAAAGTGGCGACAGGTTCACAGATCGCAGCCCCGCAGGGATGGCGAGGTCTCATTTGAATCTGCCCGTGGCCCTCACTGTGCTGGGCCCCCCAGCAGGCCTCGAAAATGGCGGCAGTTTCGCAGATCGCAGCCCCCCAGGGATGGCGAGGTCTAATTTGAATCCGCGCGTGGCCCTCACTGTGCTGGGCCCCCCAGCAGGCCTCGAAAATGGCGACAGTTTCGCAGATCGCAGCCCCCCAGGGATGGCGAGGTCTAATTTGAATCTGCGCGTGGCCCTCACTGTGCTGGGCCCCCCAGCAGGCCTCGAAAATGGCGACAGTTTCGCAGATCGCAGCCCCCCAGGGATGGCGAGGTCTAATTTGAATCCGCGCGTGGCCCTCACTGTGCTGGGCCCCCCAGCAGGCCTCGAAAATGGCGACAGTTTCGCAGATCGCAGCCCCCCAGGGATGGCGAGGTCTAATTTGAATCCGCGCGTGGCCCTCACTGTGCTGGGCCCCCCAGCAGGCCGGCCTCGAAAGTGGCGACAGTTTCGCAGATCGCAGCCCCCCAGGGATGGCGAGGTCTAATTTGAATCCGCGCGTGGCCCTCACTGTGCTGGGCCCCCCAGCAGGCCTCGAAAGTGGCGACAGTTTCACAGATCGCAGCCCCCCAGGGATGGCGAGGTCTAATTTGAATCTGCCGCAATTACCCTTTATGCCGGACCCCCCAGCAGGCCTCGAAAGTGGCGACAGTTTCACAGATCGCAGCCCCCCAGAGATGGCGAGGTCTAGTTTGAATCTGCCGCGATTAACCTTTATGCTGGACCCCCCAGCAGGCCTCGAAAGTGGCGACAGTTTCACAGATCGCAGCCCCAGGGATGGCGAGGTCTAATTTGAATCTGCCGCGATTACCCTCTATGCCGGACCCCCCAGCAGGCCTCGAAAGTGGCGACAGTTTCACAGATCGCATCCCCCCAGGGATGGCGAGGTCTAATTTGAATCTGCCGCGATTACCCTCTATGCTGGACCCCCCAGCAGGCCTCGAAAGTGGCGACAGTTTCACAGATCGCAGCCCCCCAGGGAGGGCGAGGTCTAATTTGGATCTGCCGCGATTACCCTCTATGCTGGACCCCCCAGCAGGCCTCGAAAGTGGCGACAGTTTCACAGATCGCAGCCCCCCCCCCCAGGGATGGCGAGGTCTAATTTGAATCTGCCGCGATTACCCTCTATGCTGAGCCCCCCAGCAGGCCTCGAAAGTGGCGACAGTTTCACAGATCGCAGCCCCCCAGGAATGGCGAGGTCTAATTTGGATCTGCCGCGATTACCCTCTATGCTGGACCCCCCAGCAGGCCTCGAAACTGGCGACAGTTTCGCAGCCCCCCGCAGGCAAGACAGAAAGAGGCAGGAAAGAGGCGGGAGGCGGAGGAGGAAGGACGCGACCACACTGCTCTATTCAAAACGAATACCCAACCAAGGAGGGTTGGGAAACAAAAAGAATACGCACATGAATGTGAATGGTTCGGGTACGCCTGTCTGTGCACTCGTGACACTGAGCGCGGCCGCCGCAGGAAACTTCCGCGGGGGCCCCGGCGGCAGCACCCGCGCGCCGCGACGCCCATGTCGGCGCGCCCCTCACGAGGATCGCGCCCGCTTCCTTCCAATCTTTTCCCCCGTTTCTGACCGCGCGCCCCAAAAGTTCAAAGCTGCGGGCGCAGCGCGGCGCGGCGCCTCCGCGACGCGCGCCGGTCGCCCCGGAAGGGCCCCAGCGACGCGCGCGGGTCGTCCGCTGCGCGGAGCAAAGCGGGCAAGGCTCTGACCGCTGGGCAGAGCGACGACGGGCGAGCGAGGCGCAGGGAAGAACGCAACGCGGAGTTCCCGCGACGCGCGCCGGTCGCCCCGGGAGGGTCCCAGCGACGCGCGCGGGTCGTCCGCGGCGCGAGGCCAAACAAGCAGTTGGGCAGTCGAGAGAAGGCGCGGCTCGGGGGGGGCGCTCCTCAGGTCAGGCCTCGCGGACACTCGCAGTGAACCCGAGCTCCGCGGCGAGGGCCGTCGCCTCCCTCCTGCGCCGCTTCGCGCGCGCCGCAAACTGCTCCAGCTGCTTCCGCAAGTCCCCTGGCGGCCCTGCCGGGAATAACTCGATGCGCGGCGCCCGCGTAAGCAGGAGGTCCTCGTGGCGCGCGGCGCGCGAGAGCAGCGCCTTGAGCTCCAGCCGCCAGTCGTCGTCCTCTTTCTTGCTGTTCCCGACTTCGTGGCGGCCGCAGTCCAGGATCACGCCTGGGCGACGTCGGCCGAGGAGGCAGCGCGACGGACAGCCGGCGGCCCAGGGCGAGGGTCCATAGGACCGAGAGATGGTCCAGCTGCAGACCGCTCGCGCCAAGTAGTTTCGGCTGTAGACTGCCCAGGGGCGCCATTCCCTCGCCCCGTCGACTTCTCGCATGGTGCGCCCCTGGCACGCCACCGTGGTGATGGCCCTGCCGTGCGAGAACGGGAAGCCCGTCCGGGTGACCTTGGAGATGCGGAAGATGAGCGGTTCCGACGTGCGGGGCTCGATGAACACCAGCGGGCCCGCGACGTCCCCCGTGAGGATGTCGTCGTGGCGCTTCAGGTCGTCCACGAAGTGCGCGCTTGCGTACTTCTCCGTGCGCGCCCAGAAACGCGGCGGCAAGCGCTTCAGATAGACCACAGCGAGAACACCCGAAAGACCCTCGCTGGTGGAATGGAATCTCCCGCGAATGCAAAGCAACATACATACGGGGGGGAGCGGGCCTCCTCCTCCTCCTCCTGCTCCTCTTCCTCCTCCTCCTTCTCCCCAGAGGTCTGGAGCTGTTCCCTGAAACCTTGAATGTGGCGGACGCATGGTGGCGGTGGCATTGGCTTCTTCGGTGGAACCCCATATGGGGCCAGGAAACGTGTGAGGGGTGTGCCGAAATTCGCGTGGGGGACGCATGCGGGCGGTGGCACTGGGGTCTTCGGTGGAACTCCAGATGGGGCCGTTTCGTGTGAGGGGTGTGCCGAAAGGTGTGTGGGGGACGCATGCGGGCGGTGGCACTGGGGCCTTCGGTGGAGCTCCCTATGGCGCCACGAAGCGTGTAAGGGGCTTGCCAAAATGGATGCGGGGGACGCATGCGGGCGGTGGCACTGGGGCCCTCGGTGGAGCTCCCTATGGGGCCACGAAGCGTGTGAGAGGAGTGCCGGACTGTGTGGGGGTGGCGCATGCGGGCGGTGGCACTGGGGCCTTCGGTGGAGCTCCCTATGGAGCCACGAAGCGTGTGAGCGGTGTGCCGAAATGGGTGCGGGGGACGCATGCGGGCGGTGGCACTGGGGCCTTCGGTGGAGCTCCCTGTGAGGCCACGAAACGTGTGAGGGGTGTGCCGAAATGGGTGTGGAGGACGCATGCGGGCGGTGGCACTGGGGCCTTCGGTGGAACTCCAGATGAGGCCACGAAGCGTGTGAGGGGATTGCCGAATTGTGTGAGGGACGCATGCGGGCGGTGTCACTGTGGATTTCGGTGGAGCTCCCTATGGGGCCACGAGTGAAGGGTGTGCCGAAATGGGTGCGGGGGACGCATGCGGGCGGTGGCACTGGGGCCTTCGGTGGGCCTTTTATGGGGTCACGAAGCGTGTGGGGGGTGTGCCGACATGTCTGTGGGCGACGCATGCGGGCGGTGGCATTGGGGCCTTCGGTGGAGCTCCCTATGGGGTCACGAAGCGTGTGGGGGGGGTGCCTAAATGGGTGCGGGGACGCATGCGGGCGGTGGCACTGTGGCCTTCGGTGGAGCTGCCTATGGGGCCACGAAGCGTGTGAGCGGTGTGCCGAAATGGGTGTGTGGGGGACGCATGCGGGCGGTGGCACTGGGGCCTTCGGTGGAGCTCCCTATGGGGCCACGAAACGTGTGAGGGGTGTGCCGACATGGGTGATGATGCTGGTGATGATGACGGTCGTGATGATGATGATGATGATGACTATGATGATGCTGATGATGACTATGATGATGATGACGCTGATGGTGATGATGATGACGATGATGATGATGACGGGAAGAGAGAGGAAGGGGGAGGAGGAGGAGGAGGAGGAGGAGGAGGAGGAGAAGAGGAAGAGACGAACGCGGGGCGACGTCTCTTCAAAACGAGGACCCAACACCAAAGGATGGTTGGAAAACACAAGATGGGGGAGGGTGTGAATGGGGGAAGGAGACGTGCCCGGATTTCCCGCGATAACCGCGACTGGTGTTGCATAAATCCTGTCTCAAAACAATATGAGTAAGAATGATGATAATACTGGAACTGGAAATATGGATGATGATGATCGTTAAACAATAAGATCAGTAGTACTAATGAAATACTAGTAGTAGTAGTAGTAGTAGTAGTCGTCGTCGTCGTCGTCGTCGTCGTCGTCGTCGTCGTCGTCGTCGTCGTCGTCGTCGTCGTCGTCGTCGTCGTCGTCGTCGTCGTCGTCGTAGTAGTAGTAGTAGTAGTAGTAATAGTACTAGTAGTAGTAGTAGTAGTAGTAGTAGTAGTAGTAGTAGTAGTAGTAGTAGTAGTAGTAGTAGTAGTAGTAGTAGTAGTAGTAGTAGTAGTAGTAGTAGTAGTTGGTGTTGCTGCTGTAATAGTGATACTAAGGGGACCTAATTTCTTCCTGCGCGGGCGTATTGATGGATTGGGGCGTGGGACATGAATTCACGTCACGAGGCGGCCACTGCTGGCGGTAGTAAAGGATTCACATCGGATCCCTGAGAAGTTGTAAGATTATTGAAGGATTCCTACGGATTCCAAGCCCCTCCTGAGCCCAAACAATCGTCGTGAACTGCCCTCGAAGACCACTGGCACCCGCGCTGGATCCCACTGGGATCTGCCATGCCTCGCCGTCGTCCTCGACCAATACGTCTTCCTCCTCTAGAGGCAAGGAACAATCCATATACATTACCTGTGTGGAGGTCCGCGCGGATGTTCTTGGATCTGCGCTGGGCCCCACCTCCCTGGCGCTCGGAGCGCGTCTGGGGTGGTGCAGAAGGCGCCGCCAAGGACCCAACGCCGATCCAAGAAATCCGAGCGGAGCTTCGAGACAGAAGGTTTATGCAATTGTTAGTGCTTCGCATCGTCTTCCCTTACCCATGACTCCACCACCTTCCTCCCTCCTCCTCCTGCTCCTCCGACTCCTCCTGCTCATCTTCCCTTCTCTCCCCCAACTGTCTCCAGCAATCCACCCTGGCCCGGGCGCCTGCCCGGGTTCAGCAGAACGTCCGCGTAGTCCGACAGGATGACCAGGTCGTCTGGATCCATGGCGCTGAGCCTATGGGAGAGGAGAAGAGAGGGAGGAATGCAGGAGGAGGATGAGGAGGAGGAGGAGGAGAGGAAGGACTGGAGGAGGAGGAGAAGGAGGAGGAGGAGGAGGAAGAGGAGGAGGAGGAGGATGGGGAGGGAGGAGGAGGAGGAGGAGAAGGAGGAGGAGGAGGAGGAGGGGGAGGAGGAGGAGGAGGAGGAATGGAGGAGGAAGCAGAGGTGGAGGATGCTGATCCTCAAATCCTGCGCTGGGGTATCTCCACAACATGCAGTGGCGCCGTGCTTCGCAGGACCTGGGGCCCACACGCAGATCGATCCCACTCTTGACGTGAAGATGAAAAAGATTGGGTCCGTGGCTCCAGTCGTCGTGTGTCGCGATGTTGCAGTTGTTCCCTTGCAACGTCAGATCTAAAGGGAGGCGGAGGAGGAAGGGGTGCACGTCGGTCGGAAGAAGTGGTTGATAAAACATGGAGTAGGAAGGCGGACCAAGAGGATTGGGTTGAGGCCCTCCCAGAGAATGGCAGCACACAGCAGAAGCAGATCGATTCCTGCAGCAGGAAGGCGCTTGAAAGAAACTGGGATCTGGGAATCCGGCAACACCCGCTATCAACGGCTGGCGTGTACAGTTACAGTGGAGGCCCGACCACAAGAAACCTTCCACGAGAAACCCAACCCTGAGACCCCAGGACGTCCACTGGTCTTGGGTGTGGGAGCGTCACGCCTTCCAAAGCAAAACCATCGCAACCCAAGACACCCAGGGCACCATGGAGGCAAGCAGGGAGTCTCTTGGCATGGGTCTCCACAGTATGAGGGGGGAAGAGGCAGAGAGGAGGGAGGGGGAACGGGGGACGCGCGGCAAGGATGCAACCCGTATCACAAGGATGCGCGGTGAGGGTGCAAGGGCCTTGGAGGCCCATGGTCATGTGTTTGTCGCACGAAGCTGGCCAGCGAAAATCACTAAGGATGGGCCGAAGGGGCAAGGATGCAAGGGTACCCTTGGGAAGGTTGCCCATCCTTACTATGCGGGTTGACTGCATTCCTGATTACAACATAAAAGGAGAAGGGGCCACAACCCTCCCAGAAAAGCACCTACAGACCCCCCCAGACCAGCCATGAGAGGGCAACCTCTTGTCCAGACCCCCACGGCAACCTCCAGGACAGCTCCAATCAGACGCCCCCCGCAAAACTAGACCCACCACCATTCGATGGTGAAGTCTGGAGAGCACACGTCCGAGCGCGCCAAGACGAGGGCGAGGGAAGGCAGGCGTGGCAAAGGAGGACGCGAGAGGCACGCGCAGCTCGACGAGCGGAGCCGCCGCGAGCGAAAACACGCGCAAGAGGCGATGCAAGGGATGGAGGATGGGGGAAGGAATGGCGGGTGCTCCGTGATTCCTTGGCTCGGCCACGAAGGGGCAGCCAGGGGGAATTCGGGCGTGCTCACACACCTGGCCCCAGGAGGACACTCGCCCCAGTGTTGGACGGGGGCTGGGGTCGCGGCGAAGAAAGGGAAGGAGGAGGAGGAAGAGGAGGAGGAGCATGAGGAGCAAGAGGAAGAGAAGGAGGAGGAGAGGGAGGAGGGCGGAGGAGGGGGGCGGAGGAGGGGGAGGAGGAGGAGGAGAGCGGAGGAGGAGGGCGGAGGAGGAGGAGGAGGAGGGCGGAGGAGGAGGAGGAGGAGCAAGAGAAGAAGAATAAGAAGAAGAAGAAGAAGAAGAAGAAGAAGAAGAAGAAGGAGGAGGAGCAGTAGCAGGAGAAGGAGGAGCAAGGGGAGAATGATCTGAGGAGGACGAAGAGCACTAGGCGGAGGAGGAGGAGGAGGAGGAGGCGGAGGAGGAGGAGGAGGAGGAGGAGCAGGTAGAGGAGGAGGAGGAGGAGGAGGAGGGGGAGAAGGGCACAGCCATCGCATCTGCAGCTGCCGCTCACCGCCCGTGCCGCTCTGGCCGACCTCGGGGGGGCGGAGCAGACGAGACTTGTGCACGCCCGCCCCGTCCGCTGCCTGTCCCCCCGAGCCCCGCGCCCGGGGATGGTACGCGTGCCTCCCCTGCTGGGGCAGGACAGGAGGAGGAGGAGAAAGAGGAGGAGAGGAGGAGGAGGAGGAGGAGGACGAGGAGGAGAGGAGGAGGAGGAGGAGGAGGAGGAGGAGAGGAGGAGGAGGAGGAGGAGGGGAGGAGGAGGAGGAGGAGGAGGAGGAGGAGAGAGGAGGAGGAGGAGGAGAAGGAGGAGGAGGAGGAGAAGGAGGAGGGGAGGAGAAGGAGGAGGAGGAGGAGGAGGAGAGAGGAGAGAGAGGAGAGGAGAGGAGAGGAGGAGGAAGAGGAGGAGGAGGAGGAGGCAGAGGGAGGAGGAGGAGAGGAGGGGGAGGAGGAGGCAGGGGGAGAAGGAGGAGGAGAAGGAGGAGGAGGAGGAGGAGGAGGAAGAGGAGGAGAGAGGAGGAGGATGAGAAGGGGGAGGAGGCGCGGCCAAAATACTACCTGGAGGAACGCTGCGCAAGGAACGGAGGCCTGCTCCGGGGCCGCGAGAGCGCCGGGGAGCTGGAGGAGCGCTGGAAGGGCACCACGGAGGGACCCTGGGGAACAGCGCCCCCGGCAAACCCGAACTGCTCCTCCTTGCGGCGCCCAGACCGTAGCTCTCGCCGCCTGGGAGGCTAAGGCGGCGGGGCGCCTCTGGATCGCCAGGAGGTGCTTGGAGCTGAAGCCGCCAAAGTGGCTGCCCATGCCGATCACCTGCGGGCGCCCCCCTGTGCCGAGCGCCCGCCCTAATCATCGTCGCCTTCGCCCTCGGCCTCGTCGTCGCTATCGTCCACGTCGTCGTCCTCCTCGTCGTCGTTCTCGTCGTCATCCTCGTCGTCGTGGTCCTCGTCATCGTCCTCGGCGGCGTCGTCGTCATTCTCGAGGTCGTCGTCAGACTCGTCACCTCGTCGTGCTCGCCGTCCCCGTCGCCGTCATCCACTCCCCCCCGCGAGATATGATACGTTAGTTGTGCCCAGGGCGGCAGAATGCCACGGTCGAAGGTGCGGGGGGCTGCGCGTCAGCGAACTGCGCCTGCACAAATGACAGAAGAGAAGCGGCCGCGGATGGAGGCAGCGAGCACAGTTGGACCGTCGGCCAAAACAAACAGAACATCCAACCATACCCTCCCCAGAATGCACAATCACATCCAACAAAGACAAAGAACACTAGGGTACCCTCCCCGAACATACCTCGATCTTAGACCTGGGTCCGACTGCAAGGCGGAGCCAAGATGAGGATAACATGGGGCGAGGATCAATCGACCATCTTTGAGATACGGCGGCTCTGGAGGATATATCGGGTACCGCGGCTTTCTCAGAGCGTCCTCGGATGCTCTGGGAGCAATCCAGAATCTCTGGAACTGGTGCAACCAAGAGGTACTGCTACCGCTGCCCTCCGGGCCTCTCACAGGGTGCGCTCTGACCAGAATTTCGAGGCGAATCCCGCGGTGGCGACGCGGGCCTCCCGGGAGACCCCAAAAAGGGGAAATGGGCGAGGGGGTAATTTGAGGTATGGGTACCTCCTCCACCTTCGAGGAACCAGCCTGCCCTCGTCTGACGATCGAACAACACGCACACATACCCATAGGGGGAACGGAGGAGGCTATAGGTGCGTGTTGTCGGATGGGGGTCCCCGCTCGAACGGGAGCTTCCCCCAGGGTCCGACAACTGGCACCCACACCCACAGCCCGTTCCCCTCCTTTCGACCCTCCTATGGGTATGGGTGTGAGCTGTTCGCTCGCCATCGTCCCCGCCCCTCGCCCGAGGGCGGCCCCTCACAGGTGGAAAACCGCCTCCCTGAGCGGCGCTGGTGGCCTCTCTCCCTCGCGCGAGGAGAACACCGGGCGAGAGGGGCGCCCCCGGCGGTGAGCCTGGAGCGCAGGCGTGCCCCGCGGTGGCCGTCGCCAGGAATCGTGGGCCGCGCCTTCCTCAGAGACGAACGCGTGCCCACTACAGGGCAGTTGCTAATACATAGGATGTGTTTACACAAAAAACAAACATAGGATTTTCAAAACATGGTTAACTCATGAATAAATGTATGCATGAGCTCATCCTTGTTTTTAATACTAAATCCCTGCATTTTACTACATGATCCGCACGCGGAGCATGTATTAAAACCGGCGCTGTACTCGCACAGTAGCTGCTCGCAAGTGGCCCTAGGAAGACCTGTTCTTTTTCGGACGTTTGCGAGTAGGCACTGTGCGAGTGGCGGAAGGCTCTCTGTGATTCCCAGAAGAAGAGAAAATGCATGAACATAAACTTCATAAACTTTGGCGCTTCGCGCGGATTTCTTGGATCCGCGCTGGGATCCCCTGGCGCCGCCCCTGGCGCGCTCCGCACGCCAGGGAGGGGGGCCAAGTACGGATCCAAAACATCCGCGCGAAACGCCAAAAGTTACGTTTTATGTTGTTTTTTGTTCTTCGACGTCCCATTCCAGCGCGTCCCCCTCCCCCGAACGAACAGCCCTCGGATGCAAGCTGTGAGGGTCGCTGGAGGAGCAGATGGGAGTCCCCTAGTGAATCCAAGAGACTCCGAGGAACTCCCAAGCAACCCCCTCCGTCAATACATACTTCTATACCATGGACGCGTCGCTCCGCGCGCATGTGCACGCTCCTTGTATCCTTACTCTCTCACAATTGAGCAGGGACCGACCGTCCCGGCATTCCTATAGGCCTACCACGAAATTGTCTTAGAACCCACAAATGCTCCAAGAATAAACACAATGTTCTTAGATTATCCCAGTGCGACCCTACCTAGGAGTTTGAGGATCTAGGAAAGCAACATCTATATGAAGCTAGGCTATGCTAAGATGAAGCTATGCCAAGGTGAAATAAGCAAAGCTAAGGTGAGTCAAGCCACGCTAGAGCAGACTATAAGCTCAGCGAAGATAAGATGACGGTAAGCTAAGCTAAGATGAACCTGAGCTAAGGTGAAGCTAAGCTAAGCTAAGATGAAATAAGCTAAACTAAGATGAGATACACAACGCTAAGCTAAGGGGACGTAACCGGGGGAACCGCGGAACGGATACTGTGGGAACCGCCCAGGGCGAGTTGCACTGCCCGGCCCTTTCAGCATACCGAGTAAGAACCCTTCTAGGCAGAGCCTAGGTAGGGAAAATGAAACAAAAACGATGTTCTTAGAAATGGAACCCTATGAATTGAAACACGACCGTCCCAGCCAGAAATGTTCCGAGAAAATTTCGGGCAAACCACAAAAGATTCTTAGAACATTCTTCGAAAGGCCTATAGGCACGCCAGGAAGCTTCGCCACTGCCTGACACAAATGGCCACTCCCAACATAAAAGATCAAATGCGGACAATGCTACACTATGCGCCGGCGGACACAGCGAAACGACTGCATACGACTCCCACTAGCACTAGCACGTAATCCACCCAGACCAAGTCCGCGTACTCTTTCTCCTCCAATTCCTGCTCTAACGCATTCCTCTCCCCCTCCAGCTCAATCATGTCTTACTCCTCGAGCTTCTACTCATCAATCTCCTCCTCCTTCACACTCTTCCGCCCTCTCATATACTGAGTCTTGTACCAACTTCCGCCTATCCTCCCCCTCCTCTTCGCCATGTCCCCTTGTGTTCATCACATCTTGCCCCAATAGTTCAAATTTCGTGTTGCTTCATTGAACCCTCCTCCTCCTCTGCGTTCTATTCGGTCCCCCCCTCCGCAGCAGACCAAACATATTACCAACCTCGACCGCCACTTCCCAACTCTCCCTTCCTCTTATCCAACAGCATCCTCGTACTCATCCAAGTCACCGCGCCGTACACGTCATCACCCAACCCACCCTGCTGTGCTTCGTAGTCTCGTCCCCGTCCTCGACGTCGTCTCGCTCGTGTTCGGCATCATCATCGACCTGGTCAAATACCCTGACTTTCGATAATATGATGCTTGTTCAGTGCGCGTCCCCAGGGGTCCCGACCCCTGCCCCAGGGTCAACGTTTGACCCGGGATCCATGCCTGGTGGCCACAGGACCCGAGGCAAAACGCCCAGACTGAACAACAACATCACATCGTCGGAGATGTGGGTAGTCGTCGCGGTACTCCTTCCCCTCCTCCTCCTCATCAACATCATTTGGCGGCGAGCGATGGGAGGAGGCGAGGGGGGGGAGGAGGAGGCCTTCTCAGAAGGCTCGGAAGTCCCGCGGCCTTCTGAGAAGTTTTCTGACCCTTCCCCGAAGACACAACAACACACAACTTCTCAGAAGGCGCGAGGAGCTTCTGAGAAGTCCCGCCGCCTTCTGAGGAGGCCTGCTCCTTCTCACCTCCCCCCTCGCTCGCCGACGATCCTGTGCCCGCCCCCTGCTCGCCTCGGGCATCATGAGGCCGTCCATCTGCTCCGCCAGCTGGTTGTACAGGAAGCCGCCGAGGGGGGCCAGGTTCATGCTAGTCTGATACAGGATGACCCACACGCCTGGCGCCAGATGTGCTAAACCAAAGCGCCCAGATTGACTCTCCTTAGCGCAAAGACGGGGAGCTAAGTGAGGCCTCTTCTTCATTGTGCTCTTAGGGTTAGAGGTGATGTTGTTCCCGATGGCCTCCCCCCACATGAAGACGCAACCAATACAGAGGCAACATCGGACTGGAAACAGAACAAATCGGATGATCTGAGACCCGACGGTCCTGGAAGATGCATCTGACACGCACAGAGACATACTAATGCTATATGTCCTCCTTGGAGGCGCGCGTCCGACCCGAACAAATAGTATACCTATGTTGTAGTATATTGTAGATCGTTTCGCGAGCGGTGTGGCCAGAAAGCGCCCGCCACGACACATGTACTATAAAAATTCTCGGTGCGCGCGTCGTCCCTGGGGGGTCGACGCACATGCAATATAATGATGTTGGGGTGACGCCGCGTACGGCGGTTCCGGAACGCTCCGAAACGCTCTGGTCCTGGACCTGCCTGGCTCTCTCCCCCCCGTCCAAAGCCGGGCAAACAGCTCTGCTGGATAACCGTGAAGTTGGGAGTGTGGTGGTTGCGACGCCGAACTCGCTCAGAACAAATTCTAGGACATCACGAACCACACCTTCCAACATATCGAAATACACGTGTGTGGAGCGACAACGACAGAGCGAACCAGCTGTAGGAACGCACGAGCAAGGCGTTCCTACGACTGGTTTGGCCACGAACCAACCCCCACCTACGACGCCGAAGCTGGCCTCGCCATTGCCAGAGAAAGCCGCTCGCTTGCCCGTCAACGGGCCCTTCCCGTGCCGTCCACGGCGGCACCACCACCCGAAACCCCACCGAGTCGGGACGCGGTTTGCTCGCAGCGCCGACCCCCCGAAAATCTCGATCCCTTCCGTGAAACCGCTCTCCTGAGCAGTTCGTTGACGGCCCCGCGGACCAGCGAGGGCCCCCAGATGCCGACTGTTTTTCCGCCTCCTCCTCCCCCCCACTTCCCCTAGTTTCCCATATTTTTTCCGGGGGATCGACGATCACTTGTGCCTGGGTGCTTACTTCCCTCGTGCACTGTTTCGCAAGAGGATCCAAGAATCTCCTCCTCGATGGCCCTCGCCAACAACAAAAATGCCCACGTCCGAGCGAGGCTAAGGCCGACGCCCGCGCCCGACGTGCGCACCGCGGGCGCGAGGCGCGCTCACAAACGCGCCTGGCCGCGCGGTGCCCGCCGAGGCGACGAACACCGCCAGCGCCACTGCTCGCTTTCCGCTGCGCGCCGCCCGGCGGGCAGGGGCAGCCCTTCCCAGCGCAAAGCAGTCGTCCAGGAGCAGGGCCGAGGAGGAGGGGGAGTGGGAGGGAGAGGAGGGGGAGGAGGAGGAGGGGGAAGAGGAAGTTGGAGGCGGAAGTTGGAGGAGGAGGAGGAGGAGGAGGAGGAGGAGGAGGGGGAGGAGGAGGAGGAGGAGGAGGAGGAGGAGGAGGGAGGAGGAGGAGGAGGAGGGGGAGGAGGAGGAGGAGCAGGAGGAGGAGGAGGAGGAGGAGGAGGAAGAGGAGGGCCGACACCGCGCCAGCAGGCGCTCCCGCCACCTGCGGCACGCGCCTCTGCAGCGCTGCCGCCGACGCCGCGCAGCCGCTGCACACCCTCCGCACGTCGCTCTGCTGGGCCTCGTCGCTCGGAGAGGCGCAGTCGTGGACTGAGGCGGGTGGGTCCCAAATCCGGCGCGTTCCGTCACCTAGTCAGGGCGGCACTGGCACCATGTTTCGGGGGTTACGCTCCCCGCTCCGTGGATCCACCACCCACGCATCAGATCCACGGATCCCAAATCCGTGTTAGCGTGCGCCTGATCAGGAGTCCAATAGCGTGGCGACGGTTGCGCAAGTGGCCGGCCGCCCAGTTGGCCGTCGCTGCGACGGTTGCGTGGCTGCCTCTGCGAAGGACGCAGCAGCAGAAGGCAGCAGGAAGCAGAAGGCAGAGAGAGAAGGAGGCAGGAGAAGAGCAATGGCGAGGCGGGGCGCGAGCAGCCTGCTGCTCAAGACGAGGATCCAACACTCAGGAGGGCTGGAAAACCGAGCGCGATGAAGAAACAACCCCCTCTCTCAACTTCCACATCCCTCCCCCCACGACATCTCCTCTTTGACACGCCTGAAACGGGTACAGGCTAATGGGTACGTCCAACGACAACTGTTGTCCAAAACAGGCGGCGGCCGCTGCTGGGCAGGCGAACTCTGTCCCAAGTGGGCAACGTCCGCAGCGACACCGACGGCGAGTCCTGGCCAAAAAGAACGGGAACGGCTGTCGGTCTTCGACTCCATTCTTCCTGTGCCCGCTCCATGTGCTAGAGGAAGAGAAAACATAACGTAAAGAGCGGCATCAGCGTGAACCTTCGGAGGTCCGCGCGGATCTCTTGGCCCGCGCGGATTCCTTGGTCTTCCACTCATTTGCAAGCGAAAGAGAGAAAGAGCTGCATCAGCATCAACGGACTTCTTGGATCGGCGCTGGACGCCCCTCCCTGGCGCGGGCAGCGCCGCCACGGGGCCCTGGCGCAGATCCACGAGAGCAGCGCGGAGCCCTGGAAGCTGCCGGATGTGCAACTGCTCTTACTTACATGTCATTCCCGACCCTCTGGTGTGTTGTGTCCTCGTCTTGAATACGCAGCGCCGCGCGTCCTCACCTCACCTGCTCACTCCTGGTCTCCCCCCTCTTCTCCTCGTCCGTCAGTTGTTTCCCAAACCTCCTGTGTGTTGGGTCCTCGTCTTGAATCCGCAGCGCCGCGCCTCCTTCTCCTTCTCCTCTCCTCTCCTCCTCCCCCTCGTCCTTCCTCATCCTCATCATCCTCTTCCGTGCTCGTATTACGGCAGGCCCCTCACAAGCCTGGTGGACGCACAGGGAGCTCCACCGAAGACCCCAGTGGCTGCGTTCGCATGCGGCCCCGCCCGATTTCGGCAGCACCGCAACACGTTTCATTGCCCCCTGAGATGCTCCACCAAAGGCCCCCGTGGCTGCGTTCGCATGCGGCCCCGCCTCATTTCGACAAACTCATCACACGCTTCGTGGCCTCATAGGGAGATCCGCCGAAAGCCCTAGTGGCTGCGTTCGCATGCGGACCCGCCTCTTTTCGGCAGACCTCTCACACGTTTCGTGGCCCCGTAGGGAGCTCCACCGAAAGCCCTAGTGGCTGCGTTCGCATGCGGCCCCGTCCTATTCGGGCAGACCCCTCACACGTTTCTCGTGGTCCCATAGAAAGCGTCACCGAAGGCCCTGGTGGCTGCGCTCGCATGCGGCCCACTCCATTTCGGCAGACCCCTCACACGGTTCGTGGGCCCATGTCCCAAGATGCATCAAGACGGTCCCGCTTAACCGATGCTGGCCTCGCCTAGGAAGCTGCACACGTCCGAGCAATGCCAAGCAGCGACGCAGACAGCTTCTTGTTCCTTGACGAGATCGATCAGCGCAACGCTTCTGCCATTCGTGCGATTTCGAATCCAGTCTGTACCCGTTCAGGTCGCGCCGATCCTCCGCCGCGGCGGGGGCCCCGACCCCTCGGACCGGGGCTCCTCCTTCCGAGCCGCTGCCGGGCGCTCCTCCCGTGGGCCGGCGAGGACCGCCGGAGGCAGCACACCGCCGAGCAGAACCCCGCGGCCGCCGTCGTGCAGCTTGCACGACCCGAGGGGGTCTGGGCGGATCGTGCCGAGCCCCTCCTCCTCCGCCGCCTCCCGGCCCGGGGTGGGCCCGCGGCCCCCGGCGCATGCCTGCCCGCGCGGGCCTCCGCGGACCTCCGAGGGCCGCCGAGGGGCCCCCGAGGGCCGCCGGGGGCCGCCGAGGAGCCGCCGAGGGGACGCCGAGGGCCTCGGAGGGCCCCCGAGGGGCCCCCCGAGGGCCGCCGAGGGCCGCCGAGGAGCCGCCGCGAGGACGCCGAGGGCTGCTGAGGGCCCCCTGCGAGGAGGCACCGAGGCGGTGGGCCCCGCGGCGCCCAGCGCGCGCGCGCGCCTGCGGAGCCGTTGGTGCCGTTGTGGCTGCAGGGCAGGCGCATGGCGGTGAGCTTCTGCCCCGACAGCACCTCGAGGGCGCCGCGCCGCGCCGAGAGGGGTGCGCCACGGCCCCGCCTGGATCTTTCGTGAGGAGGGTTTTAGGAAGGTTTTTTGGAAGGTTCCAGGAATCCTGGATTCTCCCTGAGGAGACTTTTAGGAAGGTTTTTATTTGGAAGGTTCCATGAATCCTGGATTGTTCGTGAGGAGGGTGTTAGGAAGGTTTTTGGAAAGGTTCCAGGAATCCTGGGCAACGTTTTCTCATAGTCTACCAGTATAGTATAAGGATGCACGATAAGGATGCAAGGGCCTCGGGCGCCCATTCCGAAGCTTTTCGAGCGGGGCGCGGCCAGCGAAAGCGGCGAAGGATGGACCGAATGGGGCAAGGATGCAAGGATACACTTGGGAAGGTTGCCCATCCTTACGATGCGGGTTGACTGTACTCGGCGTCTCGACAGGGCGACGGGGGCTCCACTGACGGGCACGTTGGCCGGTGACCCGGCGAACCCAACCCTCCCCGATGTGGGCAACGCTGCCATGCCAGAAAGGGGCCCTAAAGAGACAACCTCCAACAAATCTCCAAAGTACCCGTGAGTACCCGTCACGGTGCCGCTGAGGGGATAGGGGGGGTCTGGCTCCGGACCTCTGCTTCACGCGACTGTTTGCAACAGTGGCGTCCTGTGGTGTGCAGCAGGCGCCAAAGACAGCCGATATCTACTCCAGAGCGGGGGGGGTGCGAGGGCCCGCGCCGACGGGCAAATCAATGAATAAGAGAACGATCACCAGGAGAGCCTGGGGGCGCCCAGCGATGACCAACGATCAATAAACGATTAATACTTCACAAAACCTGGAAGACAGCAAGGCTGTGTGGATATCCCCTGCACGAGGCCTGCTCAAATTAATGTTTTCTGTTTTTGTTCATGATGGCGCCCGCTCCCGGCCCCAGCCAGCCCCCGTCGCCTCGTGCTGATGTCCGAAGTGTTTTGGGTTTCTTTCTAAGACATCCCCACGGCGGCGGCGCGGAACGTTGAAGCGTGAAATTGCCGGCTCCATCCCCAGGTAACGCCCGTCAGCGCCAAGGAATCACAAAAACGCTCTCCAGAGGCGAGCTCCGCTCAGCCAGGTAATTTCCACTGAGGCACCTGTCGGCCTGGGGCGCGAATTACTGGGGCGATTGAAGAGGAGGGAAAACCTTTCCGTTCCATCAATCGGCCGACCGGTAAGCGCCCTCCGACGGCCACGGACTTCCCCCTTGTTCCAGATTTCCCGCGTTGCTGCCAACGCTCGTTCCGCGTCACAATATTGTCTTGTCGGCCACGCGGAGGGCAGCTCGATGAACGACGCCACCGCCCATCGCGTCGTGAAAACGATCGCGTCGCGGTCACCTTCGGGTGTTTTCGGTAATGTTCGCTGGTTCTTCATGTTTTCTCGCCTCGGGATGCGGCCCGAGAACTGCGCGTCGTCGAGGGCGCTCGGGAGCTGCTCGGGTCGTCCCGGGTCCTGGCGGGAAGCGCTCTTTTTGGCAGCGTTCTGCCTGTGGGGGCAGCTCGTTGGGCCCTGCAAGGTCGTTCACAGGCGATTCGAAACCTCGGGGGGGGGCGCCGCTGGGCAGGAAACGCACGGCGTCGCGGATCCGGGCTCAGCACGCCGAGGGCACGTCGGCGTGCTCGGCCGCGGCCGCCCGCCCCCCGCACTTCGGGGACAGCAAGCGAACATCGAGGACGCACCCTGGGGGGATGTTTTGCGCATGTCAACAAAAGCCAAGAATCCTACGCCAGCATGGTAATGCCTGAGAGCAACTACGATCAAAAACAATCTAGGGGGGAAAATTACCATCGAAAACAGAAGGGAAGCAGGGCAAACCGGACCGCCGGGGACGACCCCGCGATCGCCCTGGCGCTCCGCGTTCAGAGGCAGATCCCTGCGCTCTCCATCCTGGCGTCGGGGCACGCCCTGCGACCCTGGCGTGGATAGAGACTGCGCTCAGGGGCCAACCCCTGCGCACCCTCTGGGTCGCGAAACTGCTGCACCTGACACGCTCTGCGGCCTGGAGTGGATCGAGGCCGCGCTCAGAGACCACTCCACACACTTTCTCGCTGATGCCGAGACAGCGCCGCGTCCCGGCGTCCCCATGGCGCGTCGAAGGGCCGCCCTGGGAACCACCAGCCCGATCCCCCAGTATACAAGTCAACGCGTGTGTATATACAGATATACACATGTAAAGGAACATGCACATTTATATTTACACGCAGATGCACATATACGTATACATACTAAAACCATCGCGCGCGCTCAAATTCTAGCTAGGCTTGATAGGCTAACTCATGTGATACCAGTGTGGTCGCTCCTTGCGTCCAGTGACTCCCTTGGAGGCCCTGCGCAAGCCTCGGAATCGTATAGAAGGTGAAGTGCGGAATTGCGGAAATCATTAATTTCCTGTAGGTGTTCAGCGATTTGGGGCCCTCAAAGGCTTCCTGATTTCTTTTTTGGGAGGTGAGGGGGTCTGAATTGTGGTCTGTTGTGTAAGAGTAGACGGGGGGCCAAACTTGAAAAAAAGTGGGATTCCAATTGTTGTACCAGTTCCTCGGCGCTGTTCGGCGCTGTTTTTTGTTTGTGCCTCGCGGGTTCGGTCAGCCAGGCCCCTCAGGGGTGTGGGATCTTCTGGACTCCCTGGGGGTTCTGGAGGCCTCCTGGAGGCCTGGAGAGCCATGGAAAGGATGTCTCGGGGTGCGCGGGAGCGTGTTGGGCCGTTCTTAACGTTCTGGGGGTTCCATGGGGTCGTCTTGGGCTGTCCTTGGGCGTCTTGGGACCCCCAGGGAAGCCAGGAGGCGCGGTACTTGCCAGATGTCAGGGGATGTGTGGGATCTCCGAGTAGGAGTCCCACTTTGACAAAAAAGAAAGGGAATTCTGGGAATTCCCTATTTTCCAAAATCCTCGATCTTCGAGGGTTGGAAGCGGGAAAACATGAGAAGGCGAAAAACATTAGAGAAGGAATTGGAAATCAACGAATCGACCCTCTTTGGGCTCTCTCGGGACGGCTCTCGCAGCTCTCTTGGGCTGTTCTTGGAGCCTCGTCGGGGTCTTGTTGGGGCCTCTCAGGGGTCGGGGGTGTGTTGGGGGCCCCTGGGGGGTCCCGGAGGCTTCTCGGAGGTCTTTGGAAGCCTCCTGCTCCCGCTCTTGGGCCCTTCTTGGGCCTGTTCTGGGTGGTCTGGGGCTGTCCTGGGCGCCTCTTCGGCAGTCTTGGAGCCTTCTTGGCCCGTCTTGGAGCCGTCCTGAGGGTCTCTTGGGTGGTCTTGGGGCGGTCGTGGGCGGCTCTTCGGCGTTCTTCCGTGGGGGGGACAATTAAAACAACTTTTACTCGGCGGCGATTGAGTGGCAGTCGGATCCTGGGGAGGTCATCATGTTTCCACAGATTTTGAATATTCCTGGTTGTGGCCGATGTGGGCGTCCAGGTCGGCCAAATCGGCCACTACCACAACCAAAGTGGTCATGTCGAGGTCTGTGGGTCCACCCCCCGGTCATGTCGAGGGACCTACAAGAACAATTCACTCACAGTCGGACTTGATTGGACAGGACACGCGAGAGGACACAAGACCCTTCCGAGGGCCGCATTACCACAAGCGGGAATAAGCCGTATTTCGGACCAGCGCAAACTCAGAAATTGAGCTCCCAAGGGTTGCATCCGAACCTGCGGAGGCCAGCCGGGACCACCCTGGGGGGGGGGTCTGTCGGCGCGCAGTCCGACGCCTCACGGTCAAACAACTGATAACAAGGATGGAAGGGGCCCAAGGGCACACACACAAATAGGAAGCCTCCAAAAATGCCCCCCAGGAGCACCATAGAGGCCACCACGAGGCCCTAAAAAGCATCCCAGATGCCCCCACGAGTTCTCCAAAGGGCCCCAGAGAGGCATGACAAGGGACCCTCAGATTCATCCAAAAGGATCTTGGTCCAAGATATAACTTCCACGATCGTCTCAAACAATCACTCCGTGGGGGTCGTCGGAATGGCGTAAGCTACTTGAATAAATATATACAGATCCCAAGGAATCCCAGTATTGTCAATGTATTCTGGATGTTCGTCTCCCCCTTCCACTACCCAGATGTTCCATATTTTCAGGGGAATCGACGATGATTCGTGTGTGTGTGTGTGTATATATTCTCCCCTCCTGTAGGGTGCATGATGATGATGCAAGGGACTTAGAAGGCCATGCTGGCATTTTTCGAGCGGGGCGCGGACATCCGAAGTGGTTGAGGATGGACCGAGTAACCGAAGAGGCAGGGATGCAAGGGTACCCTTGGGAAGTCGATAATCCTTATTATCAGTGTTGACTATACAATATACAGCGCACCATGCCTGCACTCCAGTCGGGCCTCGCTCCAGCGCGGTACGGTGCACAGAGCCCGCCGTGTCATTCATCGCGATTGCGCTCATGATTGGCTCCGCACCCCTCCCCTCCCCCAGGTCACGTCACTACTAGCGGCAGCGCCGAGTCGGAATTCGCCAGTCCTAGGCATTCTCAGACCCCCGCGGTCACGCCCGGTGTCGTCAGGGAATACAGAATCCATCATAGCTTCTCCGGCCCCGAGGGCCGCGGAACTGGCTCGAGGATCGACGACGCCTCGGGAGCAGCCCGAGCCCTTGCCGTACCGACCGGTCTCCCCACGGCAGGCCATAACCATGAGGGGTCAAGCTCTGAGGGATGAGGCCCCCAGGACGAGGTGTGTCATAAAACGTAAATCCAGCTGTGGATACCATCTTATCTAAAGGCCTCCCAGGTGGGGTCCGAATAGATGGGGTCGGAGGATCGCGCCGCATCGGCGACGTTTGCGCAGCATCGGCGACCTCGGTGTGAAGAACATCGGGCTCCACATCGCGCCGCATCGGCGATGCGACGGCGATGCGGCGCGATCTTTCGACCCCATCTACGGCGGGTTCGTATCGTGTCGACCCCGGCGTTGGTTCCTGACACCGTGGGGATCGTTCAACCCTAAGCGATCGGCTGTTTCCGAAGCGTCGGACCGTTCACCTTCGACCGACTCTTGGTCGCAAGCGGCGCTCAACGTTGAACGCCGGCGGCGGGGTCGCCGCCGGTCAGCATGACGCGAACCTACCGCTCATTGACCCCACCGTGGAGCCTTACATTATCCTATGCCCAGCGCCCTATCCCTAAGGGCGATTAGCAATAAAAGGGTCCCTAACCCTTTGGGAGGGGACCTGAGTTAGGAGGGCCAATCACATTAGGGATACGGGTCTTTCTGCAAGTGCATCGAGCCGAACCGCCCAAAATCATCATCCGCGATGCGAAGAAGACGGGGACCTGAGTGAGGCCACGCCTTCGCTGTGTTAATTATGAGGGTTAGGGGTTCTTGTCTTCTCGATGACCTAAGGACAGGAGGCCCAGAATCGAATCGATAAGTCGAACCGGCCATCGAAATGGATCGGATCGGCGGAAATCGGCAGCCGAGTCGGGAAGCGTCGAATCGGTAGACATCGGAAGGCTGGTGGGCGTCCATTGAGACATCGGAGCCCGCACCGGAATCGGAAGTCGAATCGCATCGGCATCGGAAGCCGTCGAGATCGAATCGAATCGGAGGAGTCAAAATGACGGAGGAGTCGAAATGAGATCTGCCGACCGCCTGCCCCCCGCTCCCGCCCGTGGCGGCGGCGCCCGGTCGGCGTCGAGCTGGGTCTCCACGTGGGCGCGCCTCTTCTCCAGGACCCCGCCCTGCGCCAGGTCCTCCTCGGCCACCACGGGTAGGGGGGAGGGGAGGAAGGACTCCTCCTCCTCCTCCTCCTCCTCCTCCTCCTCCTCCTCCTGCCGAGGGAGGCAGGATCGAGAACCAGGCGGCTACACGCAAGAGTGACCCTGGCCTCTGGTGCACGGCTTCAGGGGGCCCCAGCACTAAGCGCAGAAGGCGCTGCGATCGCATCTCGTTCGGCGCTCGGGAATCCACAGTGGGCCCGCACAAAAGTTCACTCCGACGAAGGGTCACTATCACGTGCAGCCGATTAGGAGGGCGAGTGGAGACAACTGCAGTTAGCCTTCGGGGGGCGTCCTCGTCGTCGCCGCGGCTGGACTGGGGGGGGCAGGGACAAGAGTAGGACCGATTGAATTACCCCTCTCTGGCGTCGTTACAAGTTACGGCGGACGGGTTATCTTCGCCCACGATTCCCGCGCAGCCCCTCCACCATTGGGAGCTGGCGCCGAGATGTCGAGAGACACAGGCAGCTAGATTTGTGCAAGCGGCAATGCCGACCCGCACCACGCAGCGTACCTCCAATGTGCCCTCGAACGGCTTCCGGCACGCATGCCGATGCTCCTCCGACAGCGTGCCAGCACCACCGTGCGATCGCCCACCGAAGCCATACAGTCCGACGGCCTCCCAGGGCCTCCCGTGGGCGCCTGCGGAAGCATCGACCCTCTGGAGGTTCTCGAAGCGATTCTGCCGCCGATCCTCGGGTCCTGCTCTTGCTACCGCGCCTCCTTGTCCTCCCCGCTCCTCATCCGCCTCCCTGCTCGCGCCCCCCTCCTGCGACTCGCGCCCCCCAATCGCCCGCCCCCCTCCTCGCGCCCCCGACGTCGTGATTTGTCTCGCAGAATCGACCCCTGGTGGTGTCGATCCCTTCCTCAGGGGCCGGCCTGTGAGATCCGGAGTCGTGTCTTGGTGCCCCCGGGGCGCGGCAGGGGCCCGGGGAAGGCCAAACGTAGCGAACCAACAAAACCGGTGCATGTGATTAAATCGCCGCGCGAGGCGGGAACACGCCACGCACGCTACGCGCGTTGGATCCGCGAGTGGATCAGCGTACGCAACCTGATGAGCGTAAGCTCCGATGCCTCTGGTGGTTGCGGTTCGGCCGCGATGCCCCTCTGCGCCCGCCCCGCCCCGCCCCCAGGGACTTCGCACCCCCTTTTGCTGGCAGGGCGGGGAGACCCCGCCGCCCACGGCACAGCGCACGCTGCGCACGTGTCGCAAGGCTTTCGGCTGGGTCGCACGAGCGCTCCCCTTGGGGGCCCCCCCCCCCCCCCCCCCCACGCCTCCCGCCCTCCAGGTCGCGCGCCGGGCCCCGCGAGTGGGAAGCCAAGAGACGCGCGCGCAGCTCCGACTTCAGGTCCAAGTCGCCATCAGACCTACAAGCAGGTGGAGCGAGGAAAGCAGGAGCTGCCCAGCGAACGCGGCCCAAACTCGGGGGGCAACTCCTGCCCCCCACCGGGGGGAGGGGCGACCAGGGGCAGCGCCCAGGTCGCTGCCCCGGACGCGGAGAGGCCCCGGGACGCGCTCGCTGCATGCTGAATACCCACACCGCCGACGTCGTGATTTTTTTCACAACGTCGGCCCCCAGAGGTCTGGAACCCTTCCCGGGGACCCGCTTTTCATCCTGAGTCGTTCTTTGACGGTCCCGAGGCCTGGTGAGGGCCCCCAAAGGCAAAAAAAACGAAGAACCTCCCGTCGTGATTTTTCACCACGCGAGGAGGTCTGGGAAGGTCAGTCCCCAGCCCCCCGGTCACCTCGACGGCGAGGATCGCTGGCCTGGACGCGGAGAGGCTCAGGAGCACCCTCTTGCTTCGCGGCAAGGAGCTCGGCCACTCGCCCCTCCAGTTTTTGCGAGAGCGCGCGCGGCGCCAACGGGGGCCCGCCATGATGGGCCCATGTTCCACCACCACTACCAGAGGCAGGAGCTGGAGGAGGAGGAGGAGGAGGAGGAGGAGGAGGAGGAGGAGGAGGAGGAGGAGGGGGAGGAGGAGGAGGATGAGAAGAGAGGGACGAGGAGGAGGACGGAGGAGGAGGAGGAGGAGGAGAAGGAGGAGGAGGAGGAGAGGGAGGAGGAGGAGGAGGAGGAGGAGGAGGAGGAGGAGGAGGAGAAGGAGGAGGAGGAGGGGGAGGAGGAGGAGGAGGAGGGGGAGGGGGAGAAGGAGGAGGACATTCTCATCCTCCCATTCTCCCCCGTCGTACACATGGTAGTGGTGGTGGTTAACTGGCCCATCACGCCAGGCGAAGGCAGGACAGGGAAACCCCAGCCAGTCTTGAAACGCCATCCTCCCCCCTCCCTCCCCTCCACAAGCAGGACGAGAAGGAGTAGGAAGAGGAGGAAGAGGAGGACGAGCAGGAGGAGCGGAGGATGAGGAGGAGGACGAGGAGGAAGAGGAACCCTAGCCAATCTTGAGACGCCATCCTCCCCCCCATCATCCCCTCCACAAGCAGGACGGAGGGCCCCCCCGCGTCCGCTCGATATCCGACCTACCTCTTTCTAGGCTCGGGCGCTGGGGACGATATCTTCCACGCAGCCAAGGGAGCAGGTCGTCCGAGAGGGAGAAAATGGGAGAGGGATGTGTAAGGACCTGGGGGGAGTGGATAAAGTCAGGAGAGCCCAGAAACGAATCGACAAAACGGATCGGCGATCGAAATGAATCGGATCAGCGGACAACGGCAGCCATGTCGGGAGAAGTCTATTCGGTGGAAATCGGCAGGCTACTGTGCCTTCATTGGGAAATCGGAATCCAAATCGGAATCTGAAATCGGATCGGATCGGAATCGGAAGCCATCGAAGTCGAATCGAATCGAATCGGAGGAGTCGAAACGCGCTTTGGAAAGCGTGCTTCCCCGCAATTCGCAACGCGCTTTCGCTGCCGGTGTCGCCGGCGTCGGTCTCCTCGCACACCACGGGCAGTCGCAGTCGCACCGCCACACCGCGGCTGGATCGGAGACCGTTGCCCCTGCTGATGGGCCAATTTTCCCAAAAAACTACCATGTGTAGGACGGGGGAGAAGGGAGGATGGAGAGGTCCTCCTCCTCCTCCTCCTCCTCATCGTCCTCCTCCTACATATGGTAGTGGTGGTGGAAAATCGGCCCATCACCTGCCCCTTCCTCCCTTGCTTCTCATTGGCTCCATCCTTCCCTCCTCCATCCTCCCATCGAAACATCGATCCTCAACACATGGATCCTCGATCCTCGATCCTCGGAGCCTCGATGCTCAGGTCCCCCCTCTCCTCCTCCTCCTCCTCCTCCTCCTCCTCCTCCTCCTCCTCCTCCTCCTCCTCCTCTTCCTCCTTCTCCCTCCTCCTCCTCCTCCTCCTCCTCCTCCTCCTCCTCCTCACCTCCTCCTCCTCCTCAAGCGCACCTCGCCCCACGCCCCCCCCCTCACTGCCCGCACCCCCTTTTCCCCGTGCCCCCTCTTCCCATGCCTCCCTCTGTCCCACGCTCTGTCTCTCCCATCGCCCCTCCCCCATTGCCTCTCACTTGCCCCCTTCAACCCCCCTGCGTGCCGGGCACAAAAAAACCTCCGCGTCAAACATACAAGAAATTGAAACGTCGCTTCGGACTGGCAACACGCTGATCAGCAGCGCCCGTGGTCATGATTGCACGCTGCCTAGGTTGCCATACGAAATGACGCCTTCTCCTCAAGCTTCCCATTTCCACCAACTACTCCTCCTGCCCGTCTTCATTCTCCTCCGCCAACGCTTCCACCTCCTCTGCTAGCGCAAGGCTTAAGGCTGCAGTCCTTCTGAATCGTCAGCGCGCACACTCGCCTGGGGCAGAGCCAGGCCCCCGTCTACCCAGCCTGATGGTCATAATCATCCCTCCTTCGCGGTCTAATCTCCCTACCACTCCTGGTCATCATCTGCTTCGTCCTCTGCCTCTTCCAGAGTCCCCCCACCTGCCCTCATTGGTCCCTGATCGTCCCTCCATCACCCATCGCACCTTGAAGCCTCATGCGCGCTGCCCTTCTTCACCCATCCCCATCCCACCCGCCCACTCTATCCCGGCTCCATCACTTCGACCTCCGTCGCATCGGTCCGACTCCCTCCTCGTCATCATTACCGTCATCATCAACGATATACTGTTGTTTGCCTTTCTGATCGGACTCCTCCTCATGACTTTTCCCCCTTATCTCATCGTCCCTCCCCTCTGTGTCCTTCCCCCCCTTCTCCTCTCCTTTTCTGTCCTCCTCGGCCTCCTTCCCCGCCTTCATCCTCGTCCTCATTTCTCCTCGTTATCGTCATCGCCGTCGAATTCGTAATCATCTTCGACATTTGTCAGAATCAGAAAATATCAACAATCAGAAACATCATCCTACTCCTCTCGTGCCGTCTCGTCGTTCTTCCTCCCCATCCTCATTATCCCCCCGCTCTCTCATCCATCCCATTTCCCCCGTCGCACCATAATCACCCCCTGCTCTTCCTCCCTCCCTTTATCCTCCACCTCTTCGTCCTTATCCTGTTACTTCCTTGCCCTACTCCTCCTCCTCTTTTCCCTCCGCGTCCATCCCGTCCTGTTGGTTCTCATCCCCTCCAAGACCGCCCCTGCCTCCTGCGCAGTGTCCTGACACCCTGGGGCCCACGGACGGCCGTGTAAGCCCGGCAACAACGAAACACCTTCCGGAACCGCCCCCCCTCCTCTTTCCTTCCTTCCGCCTCCCTCCTTCTCCGCACCCCCCCCTCCCTCACCCCTCCCTCCTCCATCCTCCCTTCTCTCGCCCTCCCCTTTTTTTTCGCAATTGCTCACTCGAACCTGCTGGAACACCAAAACATACCTCGAGCCATACCTGCGTGCGACGGCGACCTCCCGACCCTCCACCTCCCCATACTCCATCCGGCACGCCAGGGATTGGCACGGGCAAAAACTGGCACGATGCCCAACAGCACACGTTGTCCGAAACCGATAGCTGCTGCTGTTGAGCAGAAAACATAATGTCTGAGATGGACATCGTTCGCGGCGACGTCAACAGAGAGTCCGTTTCGACTGGACAGCGACAGCTGGTGAGGCTTCGGGTTGCGCGCAGGCAAGCTCCCCCACAGGAAGTCCCTGGCCTCAGCAAGCCTCCCCCGAATGGCCCCAGCTGGCCTCAACGGTATCCGCGAGTATTCCAGGGCGGTCTCAACAGCTCAGCCTTGGGGCGCGGAGCGGACCGGAGGCGCCGCGGGGGGCAGCGCCTGGGTGCTGAGTCGTACCCATGGCGCCCAATAGCGCGCCCCATCCCGGGCGAATCGGGCATAGGGCGTCTGCCTCACACGGCGCTACCGGGCGCTGTCGGGCGTGATCTGAACGCCTATACGGCGCCACCGGGCGCTGTTGGGCGATATCGATCGCTATTGAACGCTCCTCGCCGATACGCGCTCACTCCAAGAGGAGCGGCAAGTTCCGTGATTCACTGTTTTACCAATCTGGTCGCACCGAATCGGCTCCACGCAGGAGCAACCTGAGCAAGAGTGGCCTCCGGTGCACGGCGTTTTCTGAAGGCGGGGCGTGGCAGGGCCAAACCCCAGCGCACAAGCAACTGCCATGTATGGGCCTGTTTTCCACCACCACCACCACCACCATATGTTGGAGGGGGAGGGGGTCCTCCTGGTCCTCCTCCTCCTCCTCCTCGTTTTCCTCCTCCTCCTCGTCTTCTGGGCAATCTGGGCAATCCGAAAGGGTCTAAAGTCACATGGCGTGCGAAACTGAACAAAGGAAAAAAAATAGGCGCACTCCCCCGTCCCGCCCTGCCTCGCTCCCTCGGCCTGGTCCAACTACCGCTGGAGCGCCGCAGCCAGGTCGCCGGGCGGGTGCCTGGCAATGGGCGACGCGGGACCAAGCTTGAGCTTGGTGGCTGGTAGCCTGCCGGCGAGGATGGCCTGATTTTTTGTTACTTGGCGAGGATGGCCTGTGCACCTCTTGCTCGAAGCCGATGCTTTGGTTGTAGAGAAACGGCTACAAGCTGCGCGAAACAAAACTGGGGTACCACGAGGGACCGTCCAGGACGTATGCACCTTGTGGCCTTGGAAACACGAGGTACTGAGGACACGCTGCAACGGGGGCTCAGACGCCTTTGGCAATCAGGCCTCGAATAGGAACTGACAGTTCTCATACAACACTCACAACGGTAGTGGTCGCCGTTCCAATAAGGTCCCAGACTTCCTGGGGCGCTGACCTCCCTCGGAGGAAACTGCGGGCTCGGCGGGCTCCTTTCCCCATCGCTTCAGCGCACCGGTCCATCCATCCACGCTGGCGAGAACCTCGCTCAAGACCCGATCCGCTTGGGCATTCGGACTGAGAAAAGGATGGAACAAACAAATGCCTCCTGTCGCCCAGCGCTGACGAAACGAGCCTCCTCGGACCAGAAACCAAATCAGGCGGACCGACAGGTTGGCGAGGCCAGCTTGGCTCCCAACACTTAGGCCTTTAGCTGGCGAGGATCCAACTTGGGCCACTTGATGGATCACCCAGATCATGGCTCTCTGGGGGTCAAACTTTTTGCATGCATTCGCGCGTAGAGCGTCGCGCAAAGGTTGCGACTCCCCCTGGAAATCTTCACCCCCCATGCAACTCCAGGGACATGTTGGCCCGTGACCTCCTTCAGGTCCGTCCGCGCGAGGTGATTCCATGCGCCATGTATATCGCTCATGAGGCAAACAGCAGCAACCCTCATTGCACCTCGCAGTGTAACCTTGTCCCCAGCCCCTCCCAGCGGTGTGAAAAAATAATGCATCTGCCCCTCCAAATGGGTGCAGTTTGGGTCTTCACGGATTGGGCCCACGACTCGATCAGGCGCGATGTCCCGGTAGCGCTGGAGGACTTGAACTGTCAACTGTCTGGTCAGCAGCCCCAGCTAGCTAGAGGAAGACAGGGCGATGCGGCGTCACGGGTATGTCCGTCAGCACTGTCACCTCCGCCAACGGGTCAAGGTGTATGTCCACCAGAATATATTAATAATGGAAGTGTGTCCATCCAACTCATACGAAGGCGTGCAAGGGTCAGCTCTCGTGGCTCCTCGAATCTTGGATCAAGGGCAATCCCCCTCTCATTTTCCCAGGCGAGGAGCTACAATCCCCCCCCCAAATGCGTAGGGGAACTGGGTGTCTAGGATATCCTGGCCTGCCTTCTCCCGCAACTCGACACTACGCGGTGCGAAGCCTTCGCCAACGAACGAGTAACAGGCCATGGTCATGAGATGCCCCAGGTCCTTGAGCCGAAAGAAACAACGTGCACGGCTACGTTTTGTGGAGACCCCTACGTCGCGCGCCCATGAATCAATGACATTTTCCGCAAGAAGCATAACTCCGCCTGGTGCCCGTTCTGTTACGTGAGAGAGCACGGTCCGCCAGACACGTTCCATCCAGCATAGCGAAGAGTATTCACAACTTGCGGGTATCGAACTGGCTTCAGTAGGTGACCCTGACGATTAATGACGTCGGCATGGCTGAGGGAATCCAGGATCGTGTCAATCGTGGTCCAGCTCGAACCAGTGATCGTGAAAACCTTCGATGTGTTTCCTCAGCTTGGGAACAGACTGGTTCTGCCCATCCCTCGAAGCCGGTTTCGGCTTGACGGTGAAAGGCGAGAGCCTTCTCGAATTGGGGCAGGTAGCACGGGAATACGAACGTGCGGTAGTAGAAAGTGTCCTCATCCCTGGGCTGTCGTGTTGCAGTAGACGATGTCCTCACCCATGGGCTGTCCCAGGCCAGGTGAGGGGGTAAGGGGCTCACCCCTCCCTCCAGCGATTCGGTGCAGCAAGGTCCCACGTGACTGGTCCTCGCAAGCCCAGGGGGGGCTCAAGCAAGCCAGTGACGGGTTCCATCTGCTGCGCCGTCTCTACTATCTCAGGGTTAGGGTAGGACGGCATAGTCGTAGGCGTAATCGGTGTCGAAAGGCTACCCTCGCTGCGAGTTCTCGAACGGGTTGGCAGCCGTGGGCGTGCCTATTTCCACCATCTTCTCGGCAATGGACTTAGCATTGTTACGAAAAGATACCTGTGTATTGTCATCCTCCTTGTCTTAGCTGCGGGCGCAATTGATGCAGCTGCAGCAGGCTCCTCGTCCTCCTCCGCCTCCTCCTTCCTCGTCCTCCTCCTCCTTCCTCCCTCCCACCTATGGTGGTGGTGATGGAACACAGGCCCATCAGCTATCGTATCGTGTCACGTCCGGCGATCCCGAGGCCCCAGTGCCGGGGACGCACTGGCCCAGGTCCATGCAGACCTGGGTCGGTCGGGCGGGCTCTGCAGGATCCTGCCAGATCCGGCGCACAAGCCCGGGCCAGTACGTCCCCGGCCCTGCAGGATCCTGCAAGATCTGGCGCTCTTGATGGGCCTGTGTTCCACCACAACCACCACCACCACAAGCTGGAGCGAGGAAGGAGGACGAGGGAGGATGAGGACGACGACGAGGAGGACGAAGAGGAGGAGGAGGACGAGGACGAGGAGGAGGACGACCCCCTCTCCCTCCAACTTATGGTGGTGCTGGTGATGGTGGTGGTGGGAAACATAGGGGAACAAAAAGTGGCATAAACATAACAACTCGGAGGTCCGCGCGGATTTCTCGGATCGGCGCTGGGGGCCCCCGTCGGCGCCTCCGGCGCCGCCCCTGGCGCGCTCCGCGCGCCAGGGAGGGGGGTCCAGCGCCGATCCGAGAAGTCCGCGCGGACCTCCGAATGTTTATGTTTATGTCACTTTTTGTTCCCCTAAAACAGACCAACCAGCCCCCGCCTGCATCGACCCCCGTCTCTCTCATTTGGACGCCCGAAATGGGTACCGAAAGAATGGGCAACATGCCCAACAGCAAATGTTGTCCCAAACCAACAGCGGCCGCTGTTGGGCAGGCGGCCTCCTGTCTCGAATGGACACAGGCCGCGGCGGCGGCGCGGACAGCGAGTCCTGTTCAGAATGAACAGGAACTGCTGTTGGGCATCGTACCCATTCTTTCCGTACCCATTTCGGGCGTCCAGATGCATCGACCCCCGTCTCTCTCAGCTCGACAGTGGGCACGCGCCTCCCGGCAACGGGTCGCTCCGTGCCCGCCGTCGACCGACCCCACCCCTGGCCTCGCCACCGCTCGGGCGCCCGCTCCCCGTGCTGCTGCTCGGTGCTCGCGCGTGCTCTGCTTGCCGCACGACAGGAGGGCCCCGAACCGAATCGGCAGGTCGGATCGGCGATCGAACTGAATCGGAACAGCGGAAATCGGTAGAACCGGGAGCAGTCGAATCGGATCGGCGATCGAACTGAATCGGAACGGCTGAAGTCGGCAGGCCAGTAAACCCCCATTGAGAGATCGAAGTCCAGATCCGACTCCGAAGCCGCATCGCATCGAACTCGGGACCCGCCGAACTCGAATCGGATCGAATCGGGGACATCGAAAGGAGCCCTGCAAGATGGCCATGAATGCTCCCCGACGGCCCTTGCCGAGAAAAACCGATGCCAAGGCGCCCCGCTCGCCACCCGGCACGCGGCGGCCGCGCCCAGGGGCCTGCCGAACACGTGCGCCGCGAGCAGCGCCGCGAGGGCGCGGACCTCGGATTCCGAGGCTGCGCACAGCGCGCGCGTCGGGGCCGACAGCGAGGTCGAGGTCGAGGTCCTCCTCCTCCTCCTCCTGCTCCTCCTCCTCCCCCTCCTTTTCCTTCTCCCCCTCCTTCTCCTCCTCCTCCTCCTCCTCCTCCTCCTCCTCCTCCTCCACTCTCCTCCTCATCCTCCTCATCATTTCCTCCTTCCCCTCCCCTTCCTCCCCCTCCCCCTCCTCCACCACCTCCTCCTTCTCCTCCTCCTGCTCCTTCCCCTCCTCCCCCTCCCCCTCCACCTCCTCCTCCTCTTCCTCCGCCTCCTCCTCCTCCTCCTTTCCTTCTCCCCATCCCCCTCCTCCCCCTCCCCCTCCTCCTCCTCCTGCTCCTCCTTTTCCTCCTTTTCCTCCTCCCCTCCCCCTCCTCCCCTCTCTCCTCCTCCGCCTCCTCCTCCTCCTCCTCCTTCTCCTCCCCCCCTTCCTCCTCCTCCTCCTGCTCCTCTCCTCCTCCTCCTCCTCACCCTCCTCCTCCTCCTCCTCCTCCTCCGCCTCTCCTCCTCTCCTCCTCCTCACCTCCTCCTCCTCCTCCTCCTCCTCCTCCTCCTCCTCTCCCCTCTCCTCCTCCTCTCCTCCCCTCCCCCTCCTCCTCCTCCCCCTACCCCTCCTCCTCCTCCCTCCTCCTCTTCTTCTTCTTCTTCTGCGTCTTCTTCTTTTTCTTCTTCCTCCTCCTCCTCCTCGTCCCCTCCTCTTCCTCCGCCTCCTCCTCCTCCTCCTGCTCCTCCTCCTCTTCTTCCTCTCTTCCTCCTCCTCCTCCCTCTCCTCCTCCTCCTCCTTCTCCTGCTCCTCTCTCTGATGGGGCCACAAGGCCTCGGAGATCTCGTGGCCCTGGCTATGCTATCGCCCCCCCTGGGCCAGCACCCTCCTCTCGTAGAGAGAAAAAGAAAGAAGCATGACAAACATGAGCTTTTGGCGCTCCGCGCGGATTTCGTGGATCTGCGCTGGAGCGGCGGCGCCAGAAGGGCCGCCGGGGAGGCCCAGCGCGGACCCAAGAAATCCGCGCGGAGCACCACAAGTTTATGGCTATGGCGTTATTTCTTCTTCGATCTTCGGGCCGGGCGAAAGGGTGGGAGACCATAGCGGGGGGGTGAGAATCGGCTCACGTAGCTGATTTTTTCCGGCGCCTCCCGGCGCCGGGAGGCGCTCGTGTATCGAGGAATGGGCCCGGCGGCGGGGCCGAAACCAGCTGCACGCAGCAGATTTCGTACCCCCCCCTTTCCCCATCCCCCCCGTCTCGTTCGGCCCGGGATCTTGGCGGCCCCCGACGCGCCGGCGGGCCAGGGCCCCGGCAGGTCTCAGTCGAGCCGGCATCGCTGCTCGCTGGGCGGGCAGGAGACGGTGAGCTCGGGATGTGTACGAGAGGGCCGGGGAGCAACCTGGGACCCGATCCTGTCACCCCCCTGGAGGAGGAGGGGGAGGAGGAGGAGGAGGAGGAGGAGGAGGAGGAGGAGGAGGAGGAGGAGGAGGAGGAGGAGGGGGAGGGGGAGAGAGAGGAGGCTCGAGGGGAGTAGCGGAGGTCAGAAACAAGAAACAAAAAACAAGAAAACACCAACGTCGATCACACACCTGCGCCCGTGCCCCCTGTGGGCAGGGCGCATCGGCTGTGGCCTCCTATCGCGTGCGAATAGAAGTCGTGGACAGGAGGAGGGCAGGGGAAAGAGGAGATGGAGGAGGCAGAGGCGGGGGCGGCGGAGGCGAGGGGGGGGGCAGGTGGAAGAAACGGATGACACCCCACAGTTTACACAACCGCACGAACGTCCACACCCTGGCCAGCCATGGGTGCAACTCCGACAACCGTTTCCTGCCCCATGCTCGAGCGCAGGGCGAGGGGGCCGAAGCGGAGGACAGGGAACTCGGGGAGGAGGAGAAGGACGCTGAGGGGAGAGGGGAAGGAGAAAGAGGAGGAGGCGTAGGAGGGGGATAAGGACGCGGAGAGAGAGGGAGAGAGAGAGAGAGAGAACAAACAAAACCGAAACACAGAGGAGGATGGGGCAGAGGAGTAGGAGGAGGAGCAGCAGCAGCAGCAGGAGGTGGAGAACGAGCAGCAGCAGCAGGAGGCGGAGCAACATCCGCTGCAAAACGGGCCCCCGGAAGCCACCTGGGGGCTCATCAGTGCACCGACCTTGCAGACGTGCTGCAGCGGATTTTTCGTGGATCTCGGTCAGGGTAAAGCCCCGAAGCGGCGAGCGAAAAACGGCGTGAATCTCACGTGTGTTTTTGTCTAGTCTCCATTCCTGGTCAGAAAGATCCGCACGAAATTCACTTCGAAATTCTGAGCGACGAAATTCTCCAGGACAATCCGGGCCCAACCAATTGTTCTCCGAGCGAAATCCGCTCTGCGATGTTGGCGCCACGAGGCTCACGGAGGAGGGGCGGGCGGAGGTGGAGGAACCGCGGGCGGCAGTGGTGAGGGGCTCCGCGGGAGGCACCCGTGCACCACCAGAGCCTTGCTGGACCAGGGCCATCCTGGGCCCCGGGGCGGCAGGTGGACCATTAGGGGAAAAACAAACCTACCTCGCTTTTGACCACCCTCGCTTCCAAGAGATACCAAACGATGCCAAATTGCAGCCTGTACTGGTCAGGCCGCTTGACGAGGAGACGCGTGGTATGGCTTGGTTTTGCCTGGAAGCGAAAGCGGGGTAGGTAATTCACGCTCTGGACCATCCTGGCAGCGGCCAGAAAAGCAAATGTACCGTGCCGGGGCCCAAGGACGGCCGGTGCTGGCGCACAGATGCCTTCTCCTGCGCAGGGGGGCCGCCGCGGTGGGGGGGCCCTGTAGCGGCGGGCCGGGTCGGACGAAGGGGGCCGACGGTCGGCGGCGCGCCCAGGGGGTAAGTGAGAAGGAGAAGGCCCTCTCAGAAGGCGGCGGGGCTGCTCCGCAGCCCTCGCGCCTTCTGAGAGGTCTCCTGCATCCTCGGGGAAGGCCTGGGAAACTTCTCGGAAGGCCCCCGAGACCTTCCGAGCCCTTCTGAGGAGGTCCGCTCCTTCTCGCTTCTGGGGAGACCAAAAAAATACCGACACCGCTGTTCCCCGGACCTCTCCGGGGGTGCGTTCTGACCGGGATGTCGAGACGAACCCAACGGTCGCGACGAGGGTCTCCCAGGCGGCCCAAAGAGGGGCAAAGGAGGGAAAGCTAGAGGGATGGGTACCTCTTCCTCCTCTCCGCTTCCCCCCCTCGCCGGGCGCGCCGCCGAGACAGCAACTAAGGGGGCTTACAGGTGCCAGCCGCATGCAGCTGGCCTCCCCGGCGCCTCCCGGAGCTGGGAGCGGCGAGCTGCATCGAGGAGGGTGCCGGGCGGCGGAGCGGAAGCCAGCTCCGGCGGCGCGCAGAGGCATAGAGCCAGGGGGAGGGGGGACGGCTCCTTGGCGGGAAGCTGCTCCTTGGAAGGCGCCGGCCAGGTGTATCCACAGAGGAGGCCCGCGCCCTCTCAGTGGCAGGGGGGTGTTCTGAGAAGCCTTCCCCCCTCCCCCATCGCCCCCCTCTGCGCGTGGCCCACAGCTCCACGCGGCACGTCCCTGCCTGCCCCCCTTGTCCAGCGCCCATCGTTCGCCCCATCCCAACCGGAGTCCCACGCCGGATCCCAGGACGGTCCCCGACGAGGAGGCGGGGAGGGGGGGGACCCTCGGTGCGCCGCGCGTCCGGCAATCTCATCCTCGGCTCGCCTCCTCCTGCTGCTCCATGCTGCCCCGGCCCCGTCGAGGCCCCTCCTGGTGCTGCTGCTCCCCGTCGCCCTCCGTCTCCTCTTCTTTGGTATCCACCTCGTGCTCGTTATTCTCGTCGTCCCACGCCCTCTATCTGCTTGGCCGCGTCGTCGTAGTGGTCGTCATCCACCGCCACCACCACCCTCTCCTAATCCTCCTGCTCCTCCTCCTCCTCCTCCTCATCATCATCATCATCAGCATCATCATCATCAGCATCATCATCAGCATCATCAGCATCATCATCAGCATCATCAGCATCACCACAATCCTCTTCCTCATCCTCACCCTCATCCTGATCCTCATCATTATCATGATCAATCAACATTCTAATCACAATCACCACAATTCACCATCACCATGACCATCACCATCATCATGATCTTCAGAATCACCATCACCATCACAATCACCATCACCATCAGCATCATCATCATCACAATCACCATCAAGATTACCATCGTCATCATCATCAGCAGCAGCATCAGCAGCATCACCACAATCATCACCATCATCACCACCAGGATCATCATTGACATTATCACCGTCCTCATTATAATCCTCATCCTAATCCTCACCATCACCATCACGATCAAGATGACAATCGCCATGGCCATGACCATGATCATCACCATTATCATCATTATGTTCATCATCACCTGCAACATTATCATCACAATCAATCATCCTCATCATCCTTATCGCCCTCATCATCCTCAACGTCCTAACCATCAACACCACCACCATCATTATCATCATCACCATCATCACCATTACCATCAACAACATCATCATCAACATCATCATCATCACGAGTGCAATCACCATCACTATCATCATCACAATCACCATCACCATGATCATCAACATCATCAGTATAACATTAATCACCTGCATCATCCTCGTCATCCTAATTATCATCACCACCATCATCATCCTCGTCATCATCATGGTCATCTTCATCGTCATCGTGATCACCATCATTATCCTTATGGGTATCATCATCATCACCATCGTCATCACCATTAGCATGACAATCATCAATCTCAGCATCATCAACATTCGTATCATCATCATCATCATCATCATCATCATCATCATCATCATCATCATCACCATCACCATCAGTATCATGATAAAAATACTCATCACCACCATCATCGTCATCAACCGATTCCTCGTCATCATCATCGTGATCACCATCATGGTCTGTATCATCATCATCGTCATCACATCACCATCGTCATCGTCATCGTCATCACCATCATCACAATCATATCATCAACGACAATACCATCATCACCAACATCATCATCATCATCATCATCATCATCATCATCATCATCATCATCATCATCATCATCATCATCATCATGCTTATCGCAATGCTTCCACTAATCCTCACCCGCCTACTCCTCATGGTAGTCCTCCTCATGATCGCCCTCCTCTCCCTCACCCACCTAGTTCTCCTCCCTTCCTCTCCTCCTTCTCCTCCTCATCGTTCCGCTCGTGCTCATTAGAGGCCTCCTAGATGGGGTCGGAGTAGATGGGGTCGGAGGATCGCCCCGCATCGCCGATACATCGGCGATGCATCGGCGATGTATGGGCGATGCATCAGCGATGCACCGGCGATGCATCGTCGACGTGGGCGAGGCATCGGCGACGTCGACGTGGAGCAAATCGGGCTGCACATCGAGCCGCATCGGCGATGCATCGACGATGCGGCGCGATCCTCCGACCCCATCTACTCCGACCCCATCTAGGAGGCCTAGACTCATCGCCCTGATCTCGTTACCCTCGCCGTCATCCCTCTCCCCCCTTTACCCTTCCGCCTAGGGCCGCGCGGCGCCCCGAAGGGCCCCGCCCACCCCGCCACCACGGGCTTGGTTCAATTCGGGAGGGGCGACTGGCGCGCCGAGCCCTCAAATTGGGTACCTTTTGCTCTATTGGGTATCTGACATAAAATATGTGCCCGGGACGGTCGACGGCACTGCCGGGGGTCGCCGCAGCACGAGTCCACGAATTCACCCCGACGACGGCGGCGGCCCTCGACCTTCGGCGGAAGAAGACGGCGACAACGGCGGCTTCCGAGCCCTTCGGCCGACGTCGACAAGGACGGAAACGACGGTGACGACAACGGTGACGCCGACGACGACGACGACGGCGGCGCCGAGGACGACAACCTCGACGACGACCACGACGAGGACGACGACGGCGGCGACGACGAAAACCACGACGACGACGACGACGACGGCGACGGCGGCGACGGGAACGACGACGAACAAGACGGCGCCGGGGCCGGGGACGACGGCGACGATGACGACGACCAACGATGGCGGCGGCCCCCAGATAGACTCGGCCGTCCCGGGGGGGCTGGAGGTGCGCTGGCCCGCCGAAGAGGGCGCACACTCGGAAGCTTGTGGAGCCAAGCGTCTACGGCCGCGGCGCGCAATGTCGTCGCCATCGACTGCGTCCGACGTATTCGAAGCCGTTGCCTCGTCAGTCTCAGGAAGCAACTCGGAAGGAATGGGCAGAAACATGAAGGCGGATACAATACTACGGGCCCGTTCCTGAAGTAGGAACGCGTCTGGACATTGAAAATGAAACATGCGAAACCACACATACATTCTTCAAGC